TCATCAGCATCATTGGGACTCTGCTGCTCCAATATGAGGCCTGCCCTGGGAAAGCTGATGCCCGGGCCTGGATGGGCCTCAGGGCTAGTTTTCAAAAATGTCTGTGCTCATCATAGCCACAGGGCCAGATTTTACGTAGGCCCAACAGCAGGGGCCGGCCCTGCCGCCTTCATCACTGAAAGCAAGACGACGCAAGAACAAGAATACCCCGGGCAGGAAGTAAGAGGACAAGACGGACTTTTTTATAGCAGAAGTGCTGATAGAACGAGTTGAACGAGTACTAGGAGTGGTGGGAGGTAGGAGACAGACCCCGAGGATGCTGATGGAGCTGGCATCTTTGGTGTGCCATTTCTCCATTTATGGGCCTGCCTGTGTGCCCCGTGGCCTCTCCTAGAGTCCAAGCTTTTCTTGGCCTGTAGGGCCTTGAGGCTGCTTTATTTCTATCCGTGTTCATGATCTTTTTCAGAGTGGTCCAGAAGACCCCAGAAATCCTTCAAGAATTCCTCGAAAACCCTCTGTGTGCGGGGGGGGAGCCTTAAAAGATGGACCTCCCATTGTGCTCGTGATGCTCGTGCACGACGCGCACGCGCCCATCGTCTCGGCCCCTCTAAAGAGCAGCATCGATTGGCCGAAGCCCCACAAATTCATCGGCAACGCCAGAAAAAACCTGCATGCAGCTAATTATGAAACACCCGCAAAACCATCTTGGCATCATTATGCAACAATCACGCGCTAGATCTGAAAAACATCACCAACATACCGCACAATCTGCATGAAACCGTCATACACCCAGGAACCCATCATACACCCAGGAACCCATCAATGTGCCTATCATCAGTTTTTTGTGAGACTACCACCGGAAAACAATATGAACCCCTCGTAAAACTTGCAGAGAAGCATGATAGCCTGTGTGGTTCCAGCAGTCAATTTTGAACAACCCCATCATGCCTGGCCAAGCAAGTAGAAGCCTGGAGAAGCTCAAGCACACCCCAATGATGCTGCAGCATCATTGGGGGTCCGTTGATCTACTTCAGGCATTCCCGCATCCAACGGCCTCTCTTCAAGTCTACATTTTTCTTAGCTCTGGCCCAAGATGTGCCTCGGCGCTAGCTTTTTGAAAGCGAGCCCCGAGGCCCATCTGGGCCAGGGCACCAGCTTAGGCCTGCATCGGAGCAACAGAGCCCCGATGATGATGGCTTGCTCCAAAATCATCCGCATCATTGAGGGTCCGTTTCTCCAATTTTGAAGATTCTAGGCCTGCCCTTCGCAGTTCCACACTACCTTCGTTGCCTGCACCTGGGCGCAGCCCTTAACAATCAAGATGCGTTTGGGAGGACCTACGATGACTATAACCCACTAACTTTCGGGAAATGCCGTCACAAAGAAATTTACATGCGAAGGAGGAGCTTCAATCACGGGTATCGGGTGATGATTTTAGCATCTCAGGGGTCTAGTTCCAGGTATGTTTTTGAGTGATGTTAATGAAAAATGCACGCTCCCGGAAACTGTGAACTCTCCATTTGGCAGCGCATATTGTGCTGTTTGGCTCGCATTTGATAGAACCTGCTGTTTGTGGGTTCTACCTGCTGGGCTGCAGCCAAGGGTGCAGAATACAATGGCATCATGTGCCTCCGGCGCCAACTGTTGCATCTGCTCCGTGCTCTCCGCCCAGAGGACCAGGAGGGACTCACGGCATTGACATTCGTACATTGGCGTGAGCTGAAGCTCCCCTTCATGCTGCCCTCTTGACATGCAAGCAACACGTCTCTTAAAATTGGAATTGCTTGCAGAATCTTGTGGACGCACGATGCATCCATAAAATGCCAAGTACTACCCCTAGCAGTATTCCACGAGGCGTCAGTTCCGTTTGCATACTCCGCACCTCGCTGCCTAAGTTAAGGCTAGAGCCTGTAACATGCTCAGTTGATCAGCCCCTCTGACCCCACTTCATGAGGAGATTGCAAGTGCAGCTGTTCACGCTTGAATGCAGTATTCATATAACATGAGGCATGTGCTCCTTGAAGCCGGTCTTGGCAACGCTCAGCACCTCATAGGGCATGCTTTGTCATGCACGTTCCAGGTCAGTGCGAGCCCAAGTTGCCTGGCTCAGCCCCGTGCAATGCTGGTCATGATGGTTGCGCAAATAAACCCAGCAGCTGGCGCCCAGTGAAGCCATGGCCACTTGCCTCCGCAGAATGCGCTTCACTATTACTCAGGGCAAAGTCTGTCCACGTGCCTAGGAAGTGAGCCACAGCTCCGACAAGGAAACCAAGCAGACCACCCGCTTGGGTGCCGGAACCTAGCCAGCTGCGTTCCAATAAAAGCTCACTTTCACATTGGTTGCATCGGCCTGTTACATAGTCCAGGACCAGGTTGCTCGAAAGCAGTGTCACGTTGGCGCACGTGCACACAGCAAACCTCAGATCGCATGCACATCAGGCCAGCTGGCTGCCAGAGCCAGAATTTGAATTTACACCCCCGAAGTCTTGCTCGTAAGCTTGCGGAGATGTAGGGATCCAAGCCATATGGCCCAACCAACCGGAGGGTGACACCGTTGCGCAATCTTCTGAAGGAATCCAAAGGTAAAGGGGCAACAGTAGATCAGCTGGATTTGAACTTGAACACTCCTCAGTTGGATTATTCGGTCTCAAGGGGCTCCAAAAGCAAGACTTCACCGATACGGGACACCAGAATCCGCCAAAACCAAGGTGAGTGCTCATCAAAAATAAACACGTTCATGAAGCATCGTCTTTCGCGTCACAAAGATGGGGTTTCTTGTTGCTGTTTGCTGGCAGGCTTGTTGATCTGAAGGTTTCACGGGGACAACTGGGGAAAGGTGGCATGCCATACCATGACATGCTTGGAGTGAACAACTTAGACACAGGAACGAGAAACTGAAGGTATCAATATGGCAAAAACGCTATCTAAATACTAGCTGTGGACAGGTGTGGAGCTTCAGCTCTGGAAAGAACCACGGACCGCGAGCACAAGCTGCACGAGCTTATTGCGGACCAATTAACGTTGAGTAATCAATCATAAGGTGGTTCGGAATAGAACGAACTTTCGGCCCAACGGAATGATGAAAGTGGACGGAAGAGAACAAACTTTTGTGCTGCACAGAATAATACCAAGGCAGAAACGGAATAGTCGCATGCTCTGAACTGGAATCCGAACAATTTCTCCAGGACCCCCAGACAACTTTTCCTCAAGTGAATTTGGCTTGATTCAGAATGGTTAGTCATTTGCAAGGGTGTTACATCTAGATCCCGCCATTAACCCCGAGGTCTTGAGGCGTGCCAATCACTCCGGACATCTCCCGACAGATGATGACAAGTTTGACGGCGACGACTGACGGCGACAAGGAAGACGGGCAAAAGCAGGACAAACATCGCAAGGAAGCCATCAATACACAGAGCCCATCACACACGCTGCAGCTGAGGGTCGTGATGCACGATGCTTGGAAGAATGGAGCATTCCGGATTGCGCAATGGGTGAAAGCCCAGGTGTTGAAAAAGCGCGAAATGTCCTCAGTGCTCCGCCGGCAGCACCAGATTGTCGGTAGAGGAAAAGCTGCCTACACCACACCGCCTGACATGTCGTACCAATCAGTTCAAGCACCTCACTTGAAGCACGACCCTTTGCAGGATGCGTCAGGAGTTGGATGGTTGATTAGCTACTACTGATCAGCAGGGGGTATACGAGCAAGACGTCAACATTGTTGAACAACAGATCGAACTGCGGCCAACCCATCTGATGCAATTGAGCAGCTCCTACACATCGGAACAAGCTCTCGAGAAGATACCCAAAGATGCAGGTCCTCACAAGGTAGGTTCAAAGAAGTACAGTAAAAAGGCTTGCAGTGTTCAGAGCTGAAATTTCTAATCCGTCAACGGATCCAAGCCTAAGACTGCAACTGGAGTTGCGGACTTTGGCAGTATGGACAGGATTTTATGCTAAGATGCGCCAAGCTTCAAGCAGGCTCGGAGAGGGTTTGCCTTGCAGTCAGCCCCTGCAGGCTGAACAAGCCTCAGCTACGAAAAGCGTAAATGACACACTGGCTGCACAATCCAGGCTCGCATTTTCTATCACAAGATCAAATGCCTTGTGTAGGACAGCGTAGGATGACTGCTACTTTTATGCGCCCCTGCCTGCTCAGGACCTCGATGATGCGACAAGTTGGTCTGAGAAACGAAGCCAGACATGCCTTGCAAGAGATGCACGGTTCCCCTGGGTCAGCCCTGGGTTCTGAGACAGGTGGTGTGACCATTGCAAAGCACTGCCCAGATACCGAACCGATTGCGAAAGCAAGCGCGCTCCTGGCGACAATCTGCTGTTGTGGCCCATGAACTGAAACCCAGCTGTTCACCCGTAATACAGACCCTGTGCTCCTGAGACTCGCTGCAACAGGTGGTTCAGAGCAGGAATGGTACCATCGGCTGTAGACTCCACAGAAGACCAGGATGGCAACGTAGCAGGCAACACCTCGCAGGTTGCTTCCTTCTTGCAATAATGAAAAAATGGTTAAGCCAAGGGGTATGCCCTGTGCCTCCACCCCAGCAGATCAACACGAATGCAGGAAGTATTGCAGCTTCCGCCCAGGAACTCTCCGCGTTGCGGAGGATTGCTGTAAGAGCGGAGATACAAGCCACAATCCAGAAGTAGAGCAGCAACGCACAACCCAGCGGAACCAGGAGCATACCCGGGTTGGCAAGCACAATCCTGCTGACGGTCCGCATCAAATTTGCCTGCAGGCCAAGCCATGGCCGAGCGAGATGTCGAACTCGCAGAGAAATGCAGCAGTTGATGATCGAACCCGTGGCAAGGGCTGCTCCGAACAAAAAGTAGGTCGCACATGCCAGGTCCCGCACCAAACCATCACCCTGCTTATATGCCTCGTCGGGGGTGAATTTATTCCAAGGATACAACATGCAGAGAAGCCCTGTGACCAGCCGCAAAACTGGTAAAAGAATTGTACAATGAAGGAGTACTCGCTCTCCTCCAGAATGCAGCAATTGCAGAACCACCAACGCGCACAGGAGGCCCGCGAGGGAGCTGACAGTAATCACCGAGATGAACATGTTCCAGCTAACCTGGAAGCATCTTGAGACTGTGGAACCACATCTGGGGCAAATCCAGACAATCCGTTGATCCACCACAAATTAAGGAGGTTCTCTCCATGCAACGAATGTTAGGAGACCTGTCAGCCTGGCGGGAAGGTTCATGAGTGTGATTCATGAGCATATGGGTTAGCCATGACTCCGTACTGGGGAACTGTCACGGAGAGTGTTGACCGAGGTCCTGGGCCCTGGGCCTGCTAAGAATTATAACATCCGGTGTGTCCGGTTTGGACTATCTCTGCTCTGCTCTGCGCTGTTGCTCTAGCAGCTGAACGGGCAGCGGAGAGCCACAACACAGCTTTGCTACTAGTAGCAGCTGGCACTCAGAAAAACCTCACCTAAACTCCATCTAGGCCTATCCAGACCCCCATCCACGCCTGCATCAAATTTGCGTCATGTTGCGCCATGTTGTCGTTCTCACAACAACTCAAGCCCCTCTCCCAGATCCAGTCCGGAACTGGCATCCACTTGTCAAACAAGCCTAAATGTCAGAACCTCCCAAACAAATCTCCAAAGCTGACCTGTCCAATACTGTCCGCCAAGCTTCAATGTCTTCTTGCGTCTTGTCATCCTGCAGTTGCCGCGCCACATCGTTGTAATGTATAGTTGGCCTGGTCAAAAAACAGAGCAGGTCCTGCAGTGCATTGAGATGAAAAAGGCTAGAATGTTGGCCTTGTCCACTCCAGAAACGGAGCCGTTCGCAGCGCGCTCGCGGAGTCCGTCTCTGTTCTGGACGAAGAAATGCCCAAGATGAGAAACATCCTCAGCATCATTCAAGCTCTCGTCTGGGAAAATGTCACACTTCAGGAGCCCCCACTGAGGTTTCGATTTCTCGGCTAGGTTGGCTAAGTGTGGCACAAGTTGACTCTGACCCCTCATGACATCATGTGAGGGACCACTTGCCCAGTGGGCTGTCTGGCAGCCCTGCACTCATATGTTGGCCAAGGCGCAGAAAACTACCGAAGAAAGCAATAGTGCAAATCGCCTTAACAGAGGCGCTGAATTGGTCGCAGTTTTGGGCTTTGGGAGCGTCACGGATCTGTGCTGCAAAAAAATGCACATGAAGGCAAGCCGAACACTGCATGCAGCCCCAGTAGTCATTGAACGCTGTTCAATCCGACTGCGCAGTCCACCGATCCCTACAGTAAGGGCAGCCAGGAAGCGTCGCGATGGACGCGCCGCTCTGGAAAAAGAGGAAACTCTTCCTTCAAACCAGCTCCTCGCTTGACGCGGTCGAGCCATCGCTGTGCCACTCCTGGGCCGCGCGCAGGTCTTTCAGCGACTGAACGTCTTCACATGCGCGAATTTGGCTAGCGGGTTGAGTCACTGAAGAAAATTCACTTGCCAGCATACAGATTACGCCTTTGATGCCTCAAACTTGCTGAAGGCTTTCCTCAACATGATTCTGATCAGGTCATAGTTGCTTAAATCAGCTTGACTGCCAGAAAAACCAAACGCACTGATGCAAACAATGGAAAACATGCAAGAAGACATGCAAGCAATCTTTGTCACATGTATCGATTTACACCCCACTTAACATCCAAAAACGCGAGTAGCTAACACAGCTCTCCAACATGTTTGCAACAGCTGCGAATCTACAGTCCAATACGCCAAGCCAAATCGCTCCAAGGCGCTCAAAATATGCAAGGAACCGGAAGTTCAGCGTTAAAAACAAGGCAGAAACACACTCGACAACGCCGCTGCAATTTTTAGGAAAATGACATCATCTGAGAGCACCTCGATTTCTTGAAATTGGGAGCCAACAAAAACATGACAGGCCAGAAAGTCAATTGGGGGTCTGGGGCTTGAGCCCCGGACCTGGGGATTAGCCCTGCACCTTACCATCAGGCTGTGGGGACGTTGAGGTTTGAAGGCCCCTAGAAACCTTGGAGGCGCCTGAAGGCTTTGGATGCTACGACTGTACGGGACAGCTGCAAGAACTGATTGTGCCGGATACCACGCTGCAAGAACCTTAGCCTCAACATCGAGTTTCATTATTCTGTTCTTACAGATGTCTTCCCTCGCCTGCGCCCAATGGCATGCACATGTACTGAGACTCACTGTCCACTCATGATGTGGTAAGGTTCTCCATGAGTAACTTTGAGGTGAACAGCCCGTCTTTGGCACTCAACTCCTGGGGCATGGCCTAGAGTCATACCCAATCTTGAATGAGTCAAGACACCTTGCACTAACGCAACTACCAAAATAAACATGCGGCAGAGCTGCTTTCTGGCAAGCCTGCTCAGGACCGCGTTTGTTTGAACATCTGCAGAACATCTTGAACAAAGACCAATGTTGGTCGTCTCAATCCATGGCTGACCTATGATGAAATCTCCGAAGCAATCCAGCATGAGGGACACGCTCACTACCTGTAAAAGAATGCTGCAACGACTTCGGGGGGCTGCCAGAATCTAGGTTTCACGGCCTTGCAGGCTGGGAAGCGAATCTATGTCTGCGCGATCAAGCGGACATCGTATCATGTCCTTGCATTGCGTTTACCATGCTTGCTCCATCTTCAGTCTCTCAGTTGCACCAGGCACAAAACCGCCCAGAAGTGGAACTGTCTAAGGTGCTGCAAGTGCGGTCAACGCTTCCTTGCCACTCGTCAAAACTCTTTGACTAACGTTGAACAATTTAGCACGGGGCCATCTGAAACAATTTTGCAAGGACGGCCGGGCCACTGGCATTGATCGCTGCTCGATGGGCTGGATTTGCTGCTGGAGGACGTCTGCTATCTCTACGCATGCCGCCTATAACCTGAACTCAAACTTGGTTCTTGGTTGGATGTAAGGTGTTTGTGTGGTCCAGTTGGCTAGGCTGCAGCTTGACGTGTTTGTTGTTCTTGAGATGTGTTCTGGCTTCTCAAGACGGACAGGTACTGCAAGGCAGCCGCACACAGAGCATTTGATCTTCAACGAAGTGCCTCTTGCAGCTGGGAGATGCTCCAGCCGTGACCTGTTCTTGCGAAAGATTATCATCAGTTGGATTGCAAAAAACCTCAGGCTGTGGCAGAAGCGGCTTTCTGTGACAGTGAAGTCCTTCCCAGGAGTCCGACTTCATTTTGGTGGATGGATGGCTGCTCGAGATGAGATCAGTCCTCAAGGCTGGCATCCTTTCTCAGCGCGCTCTTGCACAGAGCAGCTGGCTTGCCAAGGACGAGCTGCGCCTGCTCCATGGGAAAGCAAAATTGTACGGAACGAGTGGGAGACTTGATTTGTGCTGCGCTTGGATACGTTTGCAAACTGCGGGGCATCTGATGAGCACGAATGTAACTACATTGCTGGAGATCCTCAGCCTGTGGTCCTATCGATTGTCAAACACCCCTTCCGCTTCCTTCATACCGCGCATCTTACCGCCACATTATAGTCTGCGTACCACCCTCGAACAAAATCGTCCCCGTCCACGATCCTACAGTACCCTGACCTGTTTGCTATCCCCAATCCGCATCGCCCGCCGCTATCCCAGCCCTCTGGCTGCTCTTAACACTACAGGCGCTGGCAGAAGGGTACGGTTCAGTAGGATTTGAAGGGCAAACCAATGCCAAAGAAAGGTAGCAGGAGCATGGGCGGGTGGCAGTGGCGGCAGTGGTGGGGATGCGGTGATGGCCGCAATGGTTGTTGTTGTTGTTGTTGTTGTTGTTGCGCGATGTTCTGATAGAAGGCAATGGACGGTAACTAGGACGATGGTCATGATGATGGCGATGAAGACGACGAGGGCTCATAGCACAGAGTACTGTGACCAGGACAAACGATGCTGATTCCGTAATGGGAAGGATCTCTGCGAATCCCGATTCCTGCCTGGCTTCTTCGCCGCGCACTCTGCGACCTTCGCAGAGCAGCTGCTCAACAGCCATTCGACTTGCAGCTGCAACATGTGGAGAGCAAGCTTTAACACATCAAGGCCCCACCTAGTCCAACAGCATGCTCCCGCCACCAGTGTGCTAGCACAAAGGGATTGGAGATAACCCTGACAGCAGCTGTAACGTCGTTTGCTCCCAAGGGTATTCGAAGCTGGCTCTTGCTTTCGCAGCAAACAGCTACAACTGAACTGAACCTTCTGAAAGCCTTGGGATGCGGTCCCGCTAGCACTGGGCGAACGCAGTGCGACCGTCTGCCACAAGCAAACCTGCGCTTGGCAGAAGTCGCGAACCAGCAGCGCAGCAGTGAATTCTTGCGTAGGAACCCAAGTGGCTTTGCGGCCCGCAAAGTGCCGGCCAAGGCAACATGGCTTTCGGTAAAAGCCAGTGGCATTTCCAGCTCCCACGTGTGCTTCGGCATCTTCTCAAACAAATAGTAAATAATTACAAGCAGAAACTCAAAGATTATGATTTGTCTGCGGATGATTTCAAACTGCGAACAAAGCTAGAGGAGCTTCGTTTTGCTCTACATTGATGTGTTCAGCTTGCTGCTTGCCTAGAGATCCTGCTTGCTGACAGAGCATGCGTGTCACTGTCATGGACCGGTGCGGGCAGGTTGCTCACAGATCATCCTGCAAACTTCCAACAACGTCGCCCGACAGACTCTAATTGCATTTAAAATCATTGAAGCTTTTTGCTTGCGCTCTTTCCCGTTCAATCTTCGCGGAAATTCTTTGAGAGCACGGCGCGTGAAACGACGAGCACAGAGCAGCCAGTGAATCACCCCTACTGGATTGCCAATGGTTCCGGCCTGCTCCAAGTGCAAGCTGGACAAGCGCAGAACTTCGGATTCCATTGCTCGCAGGATGTAGCATAGAGCAAGCAAAGCATCTGATGAACTCTTCAAATCTGGATCTGGGGCAAGTTGCGGGGCCTAGAAGGAGTCAATCACGGCAGGCTCGGAGATGGGCATTTGCACTATCGCCTGAGACAAGATGAAGCCTCATGCTGCGAAGTGCTGCAAGGCGCCTGATGACTCACAGCCCCTTTGACAAACAATCGCCCAAGTGGCGGAGATCAAAGGCATCGTCCCACGTGAGTTCGCCAAGAAGATGCGGACCTGCATTTGCCACATTGACATTACAAACGTGCAACTGAGCATTGGCGTGCGGGTAGTACTACCAGAAGAGCTTGAAGCATTTTCCGCATACGCGTGGTAAAGTCAACCTTGGGGCTTTGCTGCTGCAGTTCCGCCATTTTCGTTGATGCAGGTCACGGGGACCTCAACCAAGTAGACCTGCCCACGTAAACTTGTCCACTTGGTAAATACCTTGAAGACCTGGTTCACGACTAGCAGTTGAGCCTGCTGAGGTACCAGCACAGGCAGGAAGAAGCTAGGCCTGCAGCCCAGCAAAGATCAGAACTATTCAGGATTTTGCCGTGGTGCGTAAACAATCCTAAACACTGCCGCATACGAATGATGGCGACCTCGGAATACGATAGAGATTCTGGTTGGTCGTGCAGTGAACCGGCACATCGTAGAGAGCAGTGGCACCTGCCACGGGATTACAGGGGGAGAGCCATCGCTGAAAAGTACACCGGACACGCCTACGTATAGAATATATACTATATATAGAGAGATAGATAAATGTGCTTACCCACCCCTCAAGATGCATGATTATTGAAAGGCATTGCATCAAATTCTCCTACTTAGAATAAATCATACACTCATACCGAAACGATCCAAACAAGGTGTTTTGCATTTCTTCACATGATATGCGTCTGCAGCAATTACCTGCTAGGTGCATTTAGTTTAGTGACAACCGAATCCGGTAGTCGACTGATGCCTATAGATTGTGTCTTTTGTGGTATGTTACATCCTCAGGTTTTGCAACATTTCGACTGACAACCTTGCCGAAACCTGAGGTGCATCAACAAGTAAAGTTTCGAGGTGAACATCTTGCCGAAACCTGGGGAGGTACAGCAAACACAAAGTGCTGAACGTCTCCAGGACCAGGATCTCCCGATTTTCATTTCGCATGTTGTTGGTGCTTCCTCACGTGTTGGCAAGGTAAAAATGTTGCAAAAGCGAAAGTCTGGAGGTCCTGACCCTGAAAAACCTCCACTCCAGAACTTTGTTTCTTTCATCTTTTGGTACCTCCTCAGGTTTTGGTAACACCTCACCTCGAAACTTTGTTCTTGTAGTACCTCCTCAAATTTTGGCAACATTTCTACCTTGCTAACACGTGAGAAGGCAGCAACAACATGCAAATGAAAATCGGGAGATCCTGGTCTTGAGGATGTCCAGCACTCTGTTTTTTTTTGCTGTAACTCCCCAGGTTTCGGCAAAGTTTTCAGCCACACAATTGCCGGAATCTCAAGAGGTATCAACGCATTAATTTGAACATCTTGAAATCGCAATAGGCGTTTTTCAAGACCGGAATCCTACCTGAGCAAGGACATTCAACCATCCGAGCTTCGCGGATTGTTTGTTATCCAATTTCAAAGGAATTCAAACCTGAAAAGTGATGACTAGATTTGTAACATATCTTCTAAAGGATTAAGATAGAACATCAGGACCAGGAAGAGAAATTCTTGTTCAAGCTTGAAGCAGATCACTACGGGATTTACATGCAGAAAACAAGAATGCGGGATTAGAGAGTTACCCCTGAACGTAATGGGCACATACCACGAAAATCAAGCTCAGGAAGAGAAAGCTCCCATTCAAATGAGGCACATTTTCTAGGGGTCTACATGCAGAAAATAAAGAGCCCATGATCTAAGAATTCCCAGTGAACTTTGAAACACATCTAGTAAGGGGTTGATCTGCGTAGAGAAAATCAGGAACCCAGGATCTGAGAGTTCCTGGTAGATGCCAAAACGCACTTAATAATATGTATACAGAGAATCCAAGAACCCAGGATCTGAGAATGACCCTTTTTGTTTGAAGCAGCTGTGGTTAGAGATTTATATCAAGAAGAAAATCAGGAAAGCACATTTCCTGAATTAATTGATTAATTCGAGGTTCTGTGCTCCTCACTCGTACCCTCGTCCACATAAGATGGAGCTGATCAAACCATCCAATCTAAAAATGGATCTTGGGGGGCGGGGAGAGCACATAAAGATGTACACAAATGTATGAGTATGTACAGTCTATGTTTTTGGGCCTGTGTCTTTACCAAAAGCGGATTGGGTGGCCTTTAGGTCGCCGCATTGTGTATCTTGATTCGGACCCTCTGTAATCCTAGACTGGTCTGGGGCGAGCATGGAACGAGCGGGATCTGGAACCAATCTTATAGGGCCATGGGCATTCAACTAGGGTTTGGAGCGACAGGCTGTACATGGTATGGAATAAAGGCGCCCTGTGGATGTACAAATATTTCAACAATCAGGGCCTTATTAGGGGCTATTTCGAATTAGGGCCTTGGTAGGGACTCTTCCAAATTAGGGCCTTGAAGTCTGTTTCCGGAATTCTTCTATATACATTCCTTTCTAAAAACCATTCAAAATCTTCGAAATCAACGAGATCCCCAAGCCTTAAGAGTCGTGCTAAAAACCCCGCTTAATTCAGAGGATCCGAGCCACAATTAACTTTAGTCTTGGCCCTTTTGAAAGTAATCTTGGGGGCAGATTTCAGATTTTGGAATTCTGCACTGGCTGACCCACCCAGGCTTCAGTTAAAAAACCTACGCGGCCGGGTTCCTCTAAGACTGAAAGAGAGCCTTTGAAACCACAAGCAGGCCATTCTGCTCTGATGGGCTGCAGCAAACGAGCCGAACGCACCAGCATTCTGGATCCGGGCCAGAATCTTAAATTGCGGGCCCATGCCTGCAGCACGTTTAGGGAAAAGGATGCTTAAGCTGCCTTAAGACATCTTAGGACTGTACTTTACATGCATAAGCACAAATGATTTGGCGAGTCCTTTAACAACCCGCGCGCCTAGCACCTGCGCGTTGATTCGGACCTGTGCCCCAGCAGCTGTGGACCTCGCATTCAACAAACAGTCCATTTTTGCTACCTGAAGTTCCACAACGTCCTGGCCGTTCCTGCTCAAACTTTGTGCAAGCGATTTCGCTGAGCTCCGTTCATCGGCCCATGGCCAGTTCCCAACAGATTCACGTACCTGTGGTGAACGTCTCATTGACTGAATCCTTAGCCCTAATCTTTTGATAGTCTTTGCTCCTGGTCTAGCATTGCAGCTTTCGGTATCAGGTGGGAATCGATGTTGGCAACCGGATAACCATCACATGCAGCTACACACCGCCAAGTCCTGCGAAGGGTGCTCTTGGCAGAAATCCTGCAGCATCCTGCAACCACCTCTGGCGCAACCGGCTTCAGAGGTCAGGCAAGATCTCCGTGCGCATGGGAGGCAATCGGTGCCATGCTCATCTCGGGGTCAAAGGCCGAGGTTCGGATGAGTGGTTATGGAATACTTCGTCCTGCGCCACATACGATGAGGAATTTCACATCCAAATCAACCAAGTCAACTTCATGCCTTCAACAGCGGTGGCACGGTTGCCTGAATCAGGCGCGGCCTTGATAGTCCGAAATCGCGGTGCCGAAGCTGCCCCGGCGCCAAGAAAGGAACTCTGACGAGCTGGCATTTGCGAACTTGTGACAGCAATGAAAGAGCGGTTTGCCACTGGCACTGGCCTCGTTACGGCTGCATCGGACTTGATGTCGTTAGGAACGCACCTGGCTGTCGGCGTACGTGCGGCCTTTGCGATCATGCCACCCTCTACCTTCTCACGTGCGCTGATGCCGGTATTGAATACAGTGTGACCACAAGCACAGAGCCACTTGCCAACTGCCAGGGTTTTCGCGTGCCTTGATTCTTGATGGTGGCATTGAAGCTGACGAAGAAGAACACCCCGATCCCCTAGAAAATGAACACTGGTCTCAGCGTCATCGTGATGCAGCGGACACCGTACTGCGTCGCTTTTTGCGACTAGGACACGCTGAAAAACGAAAGGGATCCGTACCACCCCACCAGCAATGCATCACAAGAACCAACATTCAATGTGCTCGTGAGGGGGGCTATGTACAAAAACTAAAACTCCCGATCAGCAGCGTGCTGTGTAAAATGCAAGCATTCGGCCATCCGCTTGCCCACGTGAAGCCCGCCCAGCGCTGCGCAGTGCCTGGTGTCATGAGCCTAAGCCATCGACTCGGTCGCATTGGCCATGTCAAGGGGCTTGACATAAGTTGGTCAGCCTGCCGACTTTCTACGGTATGACAGCAGCACCTTCTTGACATCTTGCGTGCAGTCTCTCAACCACGCCGTTGTGGGTTGGAAGCGCTGGAAGCCTTGCTCTTGCCAGAATTTTTCCCCTCCAGCAAGGGACTTCAGCCGTCAACCTTTGCCCCTTCACTTGTAATAGCAGCAAACATGTGGGAAACCATCTGTGACCCACCGGCGAGGCCGCAGCTCCCGCAACTGATAACTTCGCACACGCATGTAGACAGCCACCGCCATACCACGCCTCCCCATGTTCTGATTGCAAAAATGGCTCGCAGGACTCGTCTAGTTGCAAATCCATCCTTGCAGCCATAGTCATGTAGGAGCGTTCTGCCGGTCCTTCCTCGAATGTGGAACTGACGAATGAAGAGTCAAGCAACATAGTCTGGCCACATTCCAAAGCATCCACCCGCTCTTGCTGTTTGAATATCTCTTCACATCTCTTGTCATGGATGTCCGTGAACGCTTCCTCAAACTCACCCGCGCGAGCTGCCAACCGGATTGATCTTCGAACCCACCGCGAGGTGATGCGTTTTTGCGCTCGCCTCTCTTTGATGAGGATCAGGATGATAACACAAGCGAGCAGGAACGCCAACCATCCGAGGACGGCCCAATCCAACGTCCAACTGGCCGCAGCGGGCACCTCAGCTTGCACGCCTGGCGCGTCGCCAAGCGCATGTTCCAGCAAGGATGCTGGCAACGGCGCTGGTGCCAGGCATGGGTGATTCCATGGGAGGGGCCCATCTGGCGCATCGCAGCTTTTCAGCAGCATGGCATCGAAACAAAGAATGGAAGCCAAAAGCCGAAAAAGCTGCGTGAAAAAAACAACATCTCCAAGCTGAGCCAAAATCCAATCTTCACTTGGCCTCGAGCCGGCCCCTAAACACGCCTCCGCGTGCGACGAAGCTGTTGGGTTCATGCAGATTCGGCCAGAATACTGTAAACCCCTCTGTATCCACGCAGCTGCCTTCACATTCAATTGTTGAGTAGTTGTGTTGTGCGGGTATCGTCAGAGTTGCCGCTTCCTCTGAGTCTGAAACACTTTCCGGATCCCGAACCGATAATGGGAATGTGTCAAGGAACAGCAAGCCCGGCAAATCCAAGAATCGAGTACCAGTATGGAATATGGAGTTACACGCACCATATTCACAACACATCCCAGGTCTGGTCGGGCTGTTGCATGTACTGATCTGGTCGAGTAGTTTGACTTCGCTCGAAACATTATCGGCCCCTACGCACAGTGAACGCTCTGAATCTGCAAGATGTATGCAAAATGTACGCAATCCAGTGTCGCACGCCCGGGCAGTGGACAGCCGCAGCCTAGGTGGATCACAAGCTTGCCAAAGATTACCCATGTCCGAAGCATGTTCTATGATCGTACTTGGGCTGGGCCGAAGGCTTACAGAGGTCCCGCTGAAAAGTCCTTGCCAGGCAGAGTGGCAAGGAGCAAGCATTGCATCAAGGATGCATGCAGGCAGCAGTATTCCAAAAGAAATTCTCCTGTGCATGTCAATAGCTTGTTCCCTTTCTCTGCTGGTCTGCTCGACATACCTTGGCTTAGGCTTGCCACTTTACAACAGACTTCTTCAACAAGTGCATCACCTGCAAGTTCCCATCATCACTAAGCTTCTTGCAGTTTCGTCTTCTTTGGGACATCCAAAGGTATGTCCTTCGGCATCACCATGGATGAACATGCAAAATTGCTGGCAGGACTGTACTAGTGGGCAATTTCCCGGCGGAACCTCCCAGCAAATTCCGGGCAAGCCCATACACTAGAAGCCAGCTTGCGAAAAAAGATCTTCAACTGCTCAGCCTTTTGAAAGCACAACAAATCACAAAAACCATTGAGGCAGCCATAGTTGCCCTGGGTGTGAAAGTATGTCAAAGTGGCAAAATTGCTCAGCTCTGCTTACATTGCACAGGGGCGTATCACTCGCGCTAGAAACGGAAAATCCTGCTCCGGCGGTGGGCCGACAGCCACAGAGGTGCCATCCAAGTTTGCATTGCGCTGCAGGATCTTGACCTGGGAGTGAAGTTCTTGAAGCGGACATACCTAGCAGAGACTCTTCTGAGGCTGAAGCCATGAGTGCTCCAGATTTGAAGCTGAGGACCTTGAAAATGCATGACGTAGGGATGTCAATGTCTAGCTGGTAGCATTTAGAGATATTGTCAGGCTTGGGCCATGGAGCCCTCCTCGCGGCCAAAGGTGCCCAGCTTCACGCCGGCTACCACATCATTCCTCTCAACCACTGAACTCCAACTGCCAGAAAGGTCTGAGAGGCTGCCAGGGATCTGGCGTTTCCACAGTCGCAATCAGGTGCTTGCCATTGTAGAGTCTCACCTTCCAGGATGGTTCTCCACACCAGGTGACATGATGTGCCAGCACATTAAAACTTTGAAGGCCTCACCATTCTGCAGCGCAACCACGAGAGCCTGGCGCACAGGTGGATGGGAATGCAGCTCAGGTATGGCCAAACAGGAAATGGCCTTTGCCACGCGAGATTTGGTAATCTGCAGAAGAGACATGCAAGATATTGGACAAGGCCTTCAGATGCTGGATGCAGTGGCAGACATCCGCAGACTGTCAAAGGATTTCAGGCAGGAGCAAGTAGATGGAATGATTCTTCTTGCCCTTGAAGTGAAAGCAGTGAATAACCTCATGATTTGTGGCAAGGTCCTTCTGAAGATAGGATGTCTTGTGAGCTGCACAGCCAAAGGCTCAGAATGCGGCGTTGTCCATGCAGCCAACATAGACGTTTTTGTCCTCAGAAAAAGCAGCACGCTGTAGTATGGGAGATGATGGTACTTCAGTGCGGGAATGTCTTGGGAGGAAGCAAATCGGACCAAGCCGACGGGCTGCGTTTCCAACTCAATCACGTTGCTGAGCACCTCCAATGTTCTGGCGTCTTTCGAGATCTCAAGGTGCCACGGTCGGCCTGCCCATTCTTGACAGTGTAGATGTTGCCATCCCGGCAAGCCACCGTTATCCTGCACCCGAGAAGAGGTTTGACTTTTACGGACCTTCTGCAGTAGCAGTGAGAGCTCCTGTACTCCACGTCGAAAAGGCCTAGGACTGAGATGAATGTTGGCACTGCTTCAAGCTTCACCTGCGAAGCAAAGTCTGCTAAACAGCGGGCGTGCTCTTCGTAGATTTATGCAAAGAACCACTGAGACTGCAGAGGCCTCTTCCTGCATAGAAACAAATAAAGGGCATTTCGGTGAGGTGGATGGCAAAATATGACGACAAGACCCTCGAGTGTTGTCTCCTTATTTAGCCTGTGGCTAAGTACTGCCAGCCGAATCTCATGTGTTTGCAATGCTGACTCAAACTGGGCGGGCAAGGCCCAAGTGCTATCATCAATTCAAAGCAACTTGCAGAACAGGGTCATGGGCTCGCGACAGTCCTAACAAATCAATTGGAGATACCTGCACGCCACGACACAACAAAAACGACCAATCCACTCAAAATACCCAAAAGAGCAATCAGCAAACGGCGTTCACAACATTAGGACGCTGGGCAGAAACGGAACAAATCAAGCATGAAACGTAGATCTCCTGAACTGTCCACGGGCAAAAGCCCAGAACATTCCAGAACAGTCCATTCAAGTTCGACCAGTTCCTGCTGATAGAACCTTGGAAGGAGATCCTGTCAACCTGTCAAGCGTTCATAGCACCCAGAATCTTGGCGTCTGTACGCTCCCAAGTGTGGGGATTTTCGAGGTGGCTCAGATTCTGCGAACTCTGTACATCCCACAAGCTTAGAGACAACCAGATATGAACGGCTACCGTACCTTGGCCGCGATCTCCAGGGCAGAGCTATTGAGGATGTAAATCATCCTGCATTCTATTGCGTTGAGCTGTCTTCATGGACGCCTGATGCTTCGGTAGTGTCAGTACCCCCAGCAATCTCAGGCAAAGAGCTTCGTTCGGTCCTGTTCTCAGTGCCAATCACAAGCATGCTGACCTCAGACAGCTGTTACATGACACTGCTCTGTAGCTCTCTGCCTTTGGTTCTAACTGCAGTAGGCTCGTCCATGTTCTGCTTGAGAACCTCGAGTCATGGGTTGCTGGCTGGGCTGGTATTCCAACGCTGGACTGGTGACAACAAAGCCTCCATGCACGTTATCGCCGTCTGCTGCTGCATAAGATACTCCTCAAATCAAACATCCTGTGAGGGTTGGCTCGCGGTGCGCTCAGAGAGCATTGCAGGAGACTAACAAGTCCTCATTCGGCTTGCATCCCCGGACGTACTCCATCTGTGACTCCAGGTCCTGTGGCAACTGATGCGAAGTCGAGATCAGCCTCTACTTCAGGCATTCTTCAAGCTGATTCCAAGATGCAATGATCTTATGGAGGAGCAGGGATCCTAACTACGCCAAAACCAGTGTCAACTCAACGTAGCAGCTAGTTGCAGCGCCACGTGCTTTGCTTGGGACACCTCCACTGCGAGGAAGTCGATCGACTGGTTGGACAGAGCCGTTCCGTTTTCGCCTCATACTTCCAAGGCTGGTGAAGCACAGGCGCTTATGACGCGTTGCAGTGGAGCAGGGCCGAAATGGTACGGCGGCAGTAAGCCCTTGACGGGCTGCGTTCAATTTATCGAAGCCCGCTTGGATGTCAGCGCCGTCCTGGGTCAGGTCCTGCAGGCAGGAGAGAATGAACAGAAGCCTTCCATGAGAAGGCTTGGGACGGAGATAGCAGCTGCAGCATGCTGCAGCCTTCCAAATGTCTTTCTCAATCGGATCGATCTCCAGGGGAGGCAGCCTGTACCTTGGCATTGAAGCTTGTACCAGTTGTCTTTCGTCTCCGTCCCTGGATGTCTGTCTGTCTGTGATGAGGCTCGTGCTGCATCGAAGGCCGCATGTTCCGAAAGATCAAAACCTTGGAGCGATTTGTTCTCGGATAAAAATCCTACTTCAAATATCTCGCGGTTGTAGCGCATGGGTGACAGCTACTCGTCTTTGGCACTGGCCCGATGCCCACTGGCAACAGCCAGTGTTGGAATCGGTGGATGGCCTGCCTGGAGCTCTTGAGAACATCTTCTGACTACGGCATACTACGGCTACTCAGATATTCTTTGATTCACTTTGGCGGACAGCATGGCCTGCCTCGTGGTAGAAGGACTGAACCGCGCATGGTACATCCGGAAGCTTATGCTCCCATTGTATAGTTGTCCCCTGCACGCAAGAAGTCTGCGTCTTGTGCTTCAGTTTCTTCTGCTGAATTCTTGCATCCAGCAGCTGCACCTTGTACATGCGGATTCGCTTCTTCATGTCCACCTCACACATCCGAGACTACGAAACCACTCGAACCCAAGCTTTGCAGCTTACACGTGTTGGCTGGGCCGCCAGCCATCACGAGACGGTGATCTCCATCTGCAGCTAGGTCTGCAAGGCAGAGGAATGACCTCAGCACTCTCAGCAACTAAAACGAGCCTCAATCTCGATTTCAACAAAACGTACCACAACAAGTGTGAGCCATCGACGAATAGCAGCTCATTCCAGCCACCGGATCGTACCAGGCCTGTTCCCCAAAGTGCGGCAATCAATCTGAAACAAACTACTTGATAACTATCTACCATGATCTACCTTGGCCTGAATTTCCAGTTAGCTGAGCTCAGAGCATCCAACCACGGACTTTTTTTCTTCTCCGGCTCGCTGAATGCCTAAGCGCTGTGCTCTGCGGCAGGACAGCCTCTGTGCCAATCGCTCGTGCGCTGCGTTCAAGGCAACGCGTCTGCTGCGGAAGCGGCTGGGGCTGCAACATTGCCCTTGGCATCTGCAGATCCTGATCTTCAATCAACCAGGCGATGTGTCACATAGTCAGCGACTCACCTTGTGACCTCCGTTTTGGGCACATGCGATTCTGACAGTGCCCCCTCCACCTAGCATGAAGACCCTACTCGACTGTAAACTACCACTGGCTAGTCAGGGTCTGGAAATTCTGACCAAATAGATAGCACAAGGGATCTTTCTTTAGTAGTCGAAGGCTGGGGATTCATGAGTGGATGTGACCTCGCCAAATTCGCGACCGCAAGACTCCGTCAAGTGGTCGGCAAGCGTTTACCACCCTCTGCCAGACTTGGAGGCCAGTTGGATTGGAGGCGTCGTTCCTCTGGAGTTGGCTGCACATTCGTCGTCTAGTGTAATCTTGCCAACAGTCACCAGGATGAGGCAGATCGCGATATTGGTAACTGTCGTCATTGTTTAGCCTTTGGATCCTTCTCACTTGCTCCTGTCGTGTCTTCACATGCTGTGCATGTGTGGCGTTTCCATTTCACGTCATGTCTTCGCATCCTGCATTCATGGCATGTCTTTGTGTCATTTGGGCTCGTGCATGGACGCCATCAGGTTTTACACATTGCTTGCTGTTGTTGTGAAGCAAGTTGCACATTACCTTGCTGGCAGGCTTCGCCCCAAAATCAGACATCACAGCCAATCATGAGTTCTTATGCTGTCCTGGGCCATCCGCCATGCCCCGCGCAAGGCCTGAAGGAGCTGGGGAAGGAGCAATCAGCAAAAAAAACAGCCATCCAATCAGTGGGAGAACAGCGCTATAACCCCAGCAGGACACCGAGGCCTATGAACAAAATCATGAGATGTTCAGGAGCTTCTACAGCCAGCGATGCTTCATCGTTTCAATAAGGAACACACGAGATTAGGAAGCCTGGCAAGGCTACATCTGGGCGCCAATGATGAAACCTATATCTAGAGTCGCTGTGCGGCGCACAGCAAATTTTGAGGCTGAGCCCCCGTCCTGGGAATTCAGCAGAAGCTGCCAGTGCACCGCCAATCGGCACAAATACAAGGCATTACTGAGCAAGACACTTACCTGTCACCTGTTCTGGCGCTGACAGTACTCAGCGGTCAGCCACCGTCTTTCCGATCCTGATTTAGAAGTGAGAGCGCATTGCAATCTTTGAAAGGGAACAATTGGACTCTCGATCCTGTCAACTATCAAAGTTCCTTGTGACTCTTGTCGTAGCATGGTGCTTATAGCCAAAGACAAGGTTTAAGCTGGCTTGTACATCTTGACTTGTTGCAGGGATGCTAAGTCAGTCATGTTGCTGCTTTTGTTGCTGTGTTGCAGCTTGTGGATTTGGCCTTCAAATGGCAGTGCCACGGCATCCAGACACCTCAGGTGGTGTGTTCGCTGCAGCAACCCAATACATCGCTTGGGCTTCTGTATTGAGGGGGTGTGGCTGTTATTGGAGTTGTTCCTCAACATAGCAACTTGTATCAAGCACTTCTAGATCTCATCAGCCGTCCAAACGAAGACTTCTCAATATTAGTGCGACATAGTGCGAGATATTCTGCATTGTCTCATTACTGCTCGAAGCTATGACAAGTCACGATGGTAGAGCACCATGCATCAGATCCAGCTGCCAGCTTGGGCTGTAGCTTGACAGCAATGGCACGTTGTCTTACGATGCGTGGCAACCATGTCTGACAACGCTGGGATGAGGTTTTGCATAGGACCTAGGCTTTACTTGACTGATTTATGGGGATGGCGTTGGGTTCATTGGCTTGAAAAGGCTTTCAAGGGCAGCGGGAGTGCGGAAGCTCCAGCAATGTATCTTGTTTGGAGACCTGCCTATCTCGTTCCTGCTTCCCTGCTCTATACACAACTCCTGTACAGGCCCGAGTGTAGGGCTGGCAAGAACAACAGGGAATCGAGCGGCATTCACTTAAATCGTGAATTCGGAGACGTCACACTCTGGGCCTCTCCAGGCATTTTTTGCATTGCGGCTGGACGTTTGAACCGGCGTAGGAAAAACGTGCTAAAGGCTTTGACATGCAGGCCTGTCTAGCGACGCCACCGCCCGCATGTTGACTGGGCTGTTGTAGAGCGGTGAAACTGGATTCACTGTGTTCACAAGCTCACAACCTTGGATAGGCAAGATACTTTGTACGCAGCGCCAGAAGGGATCTTGCGACACGAACTAGGATTCAAGTCTAGTGCGCTATGCTGTGATATGCTGTGCAAAGGCCAAGCACCCTGCGGTGTCACGTAGTGATAGCTCATGCAAAATTTCGAACGCCTGAATTTGAAGGAGGTGCGAAAAACATAAGACAGGTCTGCTCACTATGATACCTCCTCGGCTGCAGCCATGAGCCCAGGACTCCTCACAACAGCTCACATGCGCACCCTGCCACACAGCTGTCCCTCTGCTGCCTGTCGCTTGGTGAGGGCTCTTCGGCATCCTGCAAAGGGCGGACAGTCCATGTTGAACCATCTCATATTAAAATAGAAGATGGACCAAGCCATCAGTGTCGGAGCTCCTCTGACAGACCATCTTCTCTGGACCCTTGTGAGCTGGATGTTAATGATGAACGCACGGACGAGCTCGGTGATGATGATGGCGAGGTATCCCTTGTGACACAATGGTCAACTTACACAAGAAAGACCGATGATTCCTGCTAGCTTGCTGGAGACTCTGAAGCATACTGCACTTCAACAATGCAGAACAAATGACGTGCTCACAAGTCTGGCAGGTCTAACTATCATCAAGCACGCTCTGAGCTTGCGCACACGCCAGGTGAGAAAGGGTCGAAGATGCGCACAACCTGAAATGCAGCCCCACACGCCGAGTTGCTAGAGACACGAGATGGTAAACAATGAGTTGAATGCTAAGTGATGCTAAGTGAACCTCACCACGGCCCGGAAGTCGGCAAAGTCGGGATATGCTGGGAAGCCCCTGGAATACTTAAGACTGACCCATTTCTGCGCGCAGACGCCTGGGTCAAGAGGATGCACTTTGGGTGTCGCAGACCGGTGCCAAAAATTAATGTTTCTTGCGCACTTCAACTGAGCAACCAAAAATCTTCTCAAATCGGATCCATTTTCCCGGACGCCCTTCCCCCACCGCGAGTGGCTGGAATGCTTAAGTCTGTGAGTCAAGGGGCTCCCAAGGAGTTGCAAGGCCTTCCGAGGCCTCGGAAGACCGCGGGAGCCCCTTAACTCCAGACTTAAGCAGCCACTATACCCTCGTCGGTACACTGCTAGTGGCTGGAATGCAAAAAGTGCCCTGAGCCGATAGCCTACGGCTTAGCCTATAATTCCTATAATCCTGTACGTATGACCCGCCCTAAAACTTACTTATAGCTTATGATTGATAACTTCCATAGATCCTAAACCCTGTCCTAAACCCTAAGCCCTAAACTTTCACCTCGGACCTCAAAAGTCACTAAAAATCTATCTGAACCGTTTGCCTGGGCTACAACCGTGAAGCCCTGGAATGCTTGAGACTGCCTCAGCCCCCCAATTACCTGGATAGAAGCTTCCAAGGGCCCTACACCCTCAAAAGCAGTCTCAAGCATTCCAGGGGCTTGGCAAGGCCTTTGGGGCGGGGAATTGCCGGCCGTTGGCTTGCCAACAATTCTGGGTACTGCCGCTTCGCTTCCCTGCCACCAGTTCTCTCTAGCCATGTACCAAGCGTGCAGAGGCGTATGTGGCCAGTGTCACATCCACTGTGCGGAATTCACTCTCGAGAGGATATCATTGACTCAGCCGCAGTTTCTCAGAGATCATTCTGTCTAGACTTGATGGCCCAGTATTATGGTCGCAACGTGTCGGTGTCGGGTTACTCCCGTCGGTTTACAGCGTTTTGTCTTGGGGTCAGAAACGATTTAGGGTTCGCTTTTTCAGGGTGTCGCTTTGCAGGATGCCCCGCCGCTTTGCGAGGTATCAAGCTCCCTTGATCCTTATGAAATCTGCTACCGGCAAGTTTTGACAATAGCCCATGTCACCACTGACGGCCAAAGCTGCAAAGCAAACTGACGGTCTCAGGTGAACGCAAGTCATAGAAATACAATGAAACACACGAATCCCAAAAGATCCAGGCCAACTCAGGACGTTCTCCTCCGTTGCCATCCAAATCAGCTACGAATCAGCTGACAGGACTGTACCAATGTGGCAACACCCGCCCTTCGCTTGATTCGCTTGATGACTCCAGCCTCAGAGCTTTCGGGCTGTGGGCCTTCAGCATTTCATGGTTGGTTTTGCTTGATTGCAAAGTTGACCGTGGCTATCAGCAGAATACTTGCAGAGCATTGCAAATCGCTTTGCAAAGCCCTCTCATCACCAGCACTTCACACTCTGAGGACGCTCCACGCGCCAGCGCCGCCACCCGCCGAAAACCACGAGAGCGTCGTCGATTACGAACAGAGTTCTGCGGACGCTCCGCGCGCCAGCGCGGAATTCTGAGGACACTCCACGCTGCAGCGCTCGCGAGGCGGCCGTCAACAGCGAGAAGTATTCGCATAACGCTCCACGCGCCAGCGCTGCCACGCGCGAAAAAACACAAGAGGGTCGTCGAGTCCAAACGGAATTCGCAAGACGCTCCATGCGCCAGCGCGGGCGCCCGCCAAAAACAGTGAGAGGGTTCACAATCCACGTTAAGGATTCGCACAGCGCCACAGCGAGAGCGTTTCAACACGCACGAAACCTGCATATGCTTCGCCGGCAACGTTGAAAATTACGCGCGCCGCCACAGCGAGAGCGATTCGACGGGCACGAAACCCACCGAGGGTTCGCCGGGCGGCGCTGAAATTCGCACGGCGCCACAACGAGAGCGTTCGACACGCACGAAACCCGCAGAGGGTTCGCCAGCGGCGTTGAAAATTCGCACGGAGCCACAACGAGAGCGATTCGACACGCACGAAACCAGCAGAGTTTTCGCTATGTTCGCCCCGCCTACGTCCGCCAAACCTACCCCGGCTTTAGAAATAAAAGAAGATAGAAGAGGTAACGTGGCGTACGGGTGACGTGGCGTAGTTTGGGCGAGCGTTGTAAAGTAAATGCTGTTATGTGGTGTAAGTGACCGATACAGGTGCTGTGGTGCGGCGTTGGTGAGCGTTGTAGGTATAGACTGTGGCGTTGCGTATGTCACCGGCGGTGTAGATGTTATCGTGTATGTGAGCGGTGTAACTATTGTGTAGACTGTGGTCAGGAGTATCTTAGCGGTGTAAGTACTGTGGCGTGTGCAAGGCTACCGTTTTTTGACGAGGAACTCTTTGCGGTGCTTTCGGGAATAATCTGAAAACATTAGGGAAGTACTATAAGCCAAAATGAGTAGAATGAGTACAGCCCAAAATACAAATACTTGAGACCAAAACCCAAAAGTAAATATGGACGTCATAACCCTTAAACCTCAATGTAGAAAACAACGCACCAAATAATCTGAAAACATTAGGGATTTACTATACCGTAACCCAAAATGAGTAGAAACCTAAAAACAAAAGCAGATGGGCATGTTAACAGCCCTTAGCAAGCAGGATCCCTAGCCTGGCAAATGATGATGCTGAGCATGGCGTGCCAGCATTCAAATTATGATGCTGAGCATAGAGCGTCAGCATTCAAATGATGATGCTGAGAATGGAGTGCCAGCATCCATGTGAAGCGCTGGTGATGCGCAGGCCCTGCGCAGCCCACACGGATGCTGGGTGCCGGAGATGCGCACCCTCAATCCTGGAGATTGCGGTAGGATGACGCAAAAGGCCAAGGACTTCAGTTGCAGGTGTTTCTGATATTTTCTGACTTTGTGCAGGCCCGCGGAAACCAGCTCGTGGCACTGAGCTATTTTTGAGCCGGCTTGCAAAAACTGCTGAAACCTTGGAGATTGCAGTGCCGAGCAGAGCCACAAGGTGCTGAGGGCCTTGCGTGGAATGGCGAGGCGAGCAATCCTGGAGGTGCTACCGTCTCTGACCTTGGCAAAGGCACGAAAACAAACACCTGCAAGGTCTGGCTCGTGCCTACTCCACGAACTTCAGATGTCAGATGCTTAAAGGGTAAGGGCTCTTCATGTGAGCCCATGGCAGCGCAACCTGTTTTATTCTGTTTACTACTGCTACCGCGGTTTGCCTGGCCCTCGGTTCGTGGAGTGTTGCAGCTGCCTCTGCATTCGAACTATGGATACGATGCGTTGGTTGTGCGCGTTGGCTTCTTGGCTGCCGATTTTCTTGTCGGGCTTGTTTTGTTCCTCCTGCCGGGGTGGGTTACCTTGAGGTTTGAATGCTCCGCCGTCCCCTGCACTGAGCCTATGGCCTATTGCTCTGGAATGTTGGTTGTGGGTACTACATTGGTTGTGGAGGATGTTGGACCCACCCTGCATCGAGTGCTTCTGCTCCCTCTAGCCTATTGCTGGTGTGCATTGTGTCTGGAGAATTTCGGCTCCCTCTTCACTTGGCCTACTGATCTCGTACGTTGCTTACGCTTGGTACATTGTGTTGTGTGTTTCGAGCTCCTCCGCACCCTAGCCCTGAGTGCGTTCAGTGACCTCCTCTGTACTGCCCAAGTTTCCAGCTCACAAGTTGGGTCATTGGGCAATGCAGCCTCACCTCCTCAAATCCGGCGCAAGCACTTCGGAGTTTGGCGTTTGTTGGCAGAGACCAGCTCTTGATATGGCCAACTTCGTTGCCGCGCTGGCAGCAGCAGGAGTCAATTAGTGGCGCAGCGGCTCTGTGCGGCTCTGCAACATGGAGCCCGATAGAACATCGTTCGGCACAAGCAACTTCCGTTTCTCCCAGCATAGAGCTGTGCTAAAACCAGGTTTGGACATGGTGAGGCTCTCTGAAGGAGTCCAAAGGCAAATCCTCACAGAAAAATGGCCTCAGTCACATCCGGCAAAACAGAGTGACGGACGTGTCATGGCTCGGATACCTGCTTTGAGGCCCTGGTTGGTTCTGTCCAGATCCTGTGCCTCAAATAAAAGAAGCAGTTTCCAAGGCACCGGGTTCCACTTTGTTCAATCACGAGCAGGGATTATTCTTCATCATTGATTATTGGTTATTATGGATTACTGAGATTCAGATGGTTAGAAACGCAGGACGATTTTTAGGCATCGCTGAAATGCAGGGATTTACCCGCGTGCGGCCCTGGCAACATTACTTAGGCCTGGGCATTGGTTTTGGATGCCTTTGGAAACCCCAAACGTGCCCTGAAATTTCCCGCCAGGCTGATCAGATTTCAGAAGGGGACAGTATCTGAGGTTGGAACGGAACCTCCAAATCCGGCGGAGGAGTCCTCAGCGACTCGAACGTGATGCCAGGATTAACTCATCTTGTGCAGTCAAGTGCCCCGCGCAAAGGCCTTCGAGCGTGGTTGCAGCTGCACCAGGCGCCCGCTTGGGGCAGAGCCTGACAGGCCGCACGATCACAACCGCTTTGATGCGCATAACGTGCAAAATCTGACTTGTCTTGGCCTGTACGACCGCCTCGGTTTGTGGGATGCCAGCCTGCGAGAAAGCTGTGCAGAAGAATGGTGAGACTCAAGTTGTGGAAATCAATGTTTCAGACAGCCTGCGCATGTGGCGCAGGCTCTGCACATCACAAGATCACCATCGTCACACCATGCAATTGTAACATCTAAATGGTCATCAGCCTCTGGAAAGCCCTGCGCCCTCAGGCTTCTGTCGCTGTCCCAGGTGTCGGCGTGGGACGCTTGAAGCCTGCATCGATGGATGTACAGTGAACTAATGGGGCATTCGCGATCCCTGCAAGTACCAGCAATATGCCATGCAATTGCCCCATTCGGACGCTCTTCTCAAAGATCTTTACGGAAGCTGCAGCCTAGACCTTTAACGAGTAAACACGGTTCAGGAGCTTCGTGGATTCTGCAACATTTCTAAGTAGGTTTCCCCAATCTCTGCCTGATCCCTGCCCTGTGGCCTCATTGGGAGGCGCCGGATGCAGACCGTGGCCTTGCAGAGCAAATCAAGGCAGCTTCGAGGGATTTGCTCCGTTGCAAGGCCTCCTGGGTCCAAGCCGAATGTCTCGTCCAGGAGATCACCAAAGCCACCGCCAGCCGCAAACTGCAGCACTGCGGTTGCCCTACTGCATGGGCAAATATGGCCTGTGGGCGAACACCTCCTCGCACGTCACAGAATTTGGATCAGCATGCCCTTGCCTGAAGCAATCTGACAGGCTATCGGCTTTGCAGTCGGCCCTCTTCTTTCAGCGAAACACTGTTCATCTTTGCGGTGCTGGCACTCCAAGAATCGGGCACGGCCAGCTGGTTTGTGCACCTGCAGCATTGCTGCCAAGCAGGCAAACAGATCGCTGCCGGCACATCAGCATATTATCTCCTGTAACTCTAAGAAGCACAGGGCTGTTGGGCAAACTTGTGTCATGGCCGATAAATTCTACGTGCAACCGAGGTGCCATAAATCCCACACCCTTTCCACTCTCGATTGCCTCGGCAACACCAACTTGCTTCTGGCGCGCTTGGCAAGCATGCTGAGTATGCACCCTCATGCTCAGTCGTCAACATTTCCTGCAACTTGTCCCTGAAGTGAAGACACTTTGGGCAGTGACTTTTGGGGACTTGCCATATTGACGAAGACATGCAGCTCCTGACCTACAGAGACCTTGCCCACGGCACAAGTTATCATTCTCTCGGACTGCATCGTGGCGAGCGCAGCCACACAAGAATAACCAAGACTATCCAAGACGAATGGAAGCAATAAACGAGAAATGATTAGGAGCAATAGCAAAACATGGTATCAGAAATGCAGAATGTTGAGTATAGCTGGTAAAGTGCTGGGATATTGGTCAGCTTGCCTGTCCGTTGAGCTCACCCAAAAAGAGCGAAGAAGTGCTCGCAGCACCTGTGGTTGCACTCAGCTGTCCTTGAAGATAGCACTTCTTGATTACTTCAGAAGTAGAATCTTGAGCCCAAGTAAAAACCATCCCTTTCCACCAGCCTCGGCTCGCGAAAGCCTCCCGCTCTCCGTCAAATTCCAATGCCTTGTTGGTGAATCGAAGCGGCGGGCATGGCGAGCCGCTCGGCTGAGTTGGATCCAAGAGCCCTGTACTTAGGGCCCAGCTTGAACCAGGCCTCAGCAGAGCATCTTGAGCTTTGTCTCGCTTGGACTGGGAAGCTGGGATGCTGCTGGGCTCGCTGACCCTTCGCTCTTCAAGGTCAGGGGGTGGCCCAAGCTTCATGCAGCGGAGGTGCTCCTGTCATCACCCGATCCAATTAAAGGCACTTCTTCCACTTCTGCACATTGCTCCCACAGCCTGCACCTGCCGCCACACCCACACCTGGGCCAGTACATGCACAAGAAGTTCTTTACAACTCTCAATCGCCACATTATGACTCCGATCACCAAGATCGCAGCAAAAAGCTCATGGGTGAGGAAGTCAGATGCGCTTACCTGCACACAACTTGAAAAAAAATACGTCACTTCGTCGAGATTGAAGACCCGAACCCGACGCAATCAAAGGTGACTAGAGACCTCCGGGCTTAACTCCTTGCCGCCCATGCCGCCTGCCTGCACTCATCATGCCATGCTCACGCACTACAAAGCCACATCTTCAGGACCAACCTCTATGGCATCTGCCTCGACGGGCAGCATGGAAGAAATCCTCATGGGATGCCGATTTGCTTCAATTCTACTCGGTTGCGCAGCCGTTAAGCCCATTTGAGCGAACTTGGTGCCCAACGTTCGCAGAAGCATTGATTTGGCCTGGGTTGCTGCAGTCCCCAGCTATCGGCCTTACATCCTCACATGCGCCTTGCTAGCGGCTAGTGTCCAGGCAGATGCTGCATGCACATCTCAGAACAAGGCAACCTTGCCGTTGACACTCACTGTGTCAGAAGCCCCAGCCAAAAACTCGAACCAATGCAGCGGGTCCTGCGGACGGTTGGCACACGAGCGGCTGCTCCACTCTAATTTCTGGCCAACATCAATCACAGTCCATGATCCAGGCTCATGGAGTGATCCACTCGCACTACGTAAAGGCTTTCCTCACTAAGCGAGGGTAGCTGCTTCATCGTGACGGCGTGCCGTCGGCATTCGGGGCACCTCTGATACACTCACCAGCCAGTCAGAACACTCTGTGTTTCTGAGGCCCAAGGATGCTGCCTCAAGGCCTCCCCCTGGGAGTTGGTGGATGACGCGTATCCCCGCCTGGCAGTCTTGAACTCATCCGACATGACTTTCCAATCTTTTCCATGCATGCCCCGTGCCAGGCTCACGCGCAACTGCTGCACAAAAGGTGAAGGCAAACTGCAATGTCAGCTGCATCGACAAAAGCCGTGGGTGTAGACCTGCAAGAGACATGAAAGTGAGCAGCAATGAAACTTTCGTGCGTGGCCTAACATCCACAAACATCAAATCATCCCGGGGAAGGACCTGCATAATGGCTCCAAGCATATGGGGCACTCTGCACCTCAGCTGCTCAACATACTCAACTGGTTTAGCTTCTTATGATGTTCCAGCAGCATCCAGCAGCGGGGGTCCGGACCCATTGGCACTTCTCTGCCTCTGACCTGCCCTGAAAGCCAACCAGGACTCCGCCGCAACAGCCGGGGCCGTTGCCCCCGCGAGTCTGGGGAAGCGCGCAGGGATCTGAAAGGAACTCCTGAAATCTCATGAGCTGCGGATTCCAACTACATGCATGAAGATTCGCACTCAACGTGTCCTCCGCCTCAGATGCCCTCAGGTAATCCATGAAGGCGTCCAGCAAAAGCCTAAGCTTCAGCTCTTTGCATGTCAATTGGCTGATGGACGCGTCTACATTTGTTGCTTCCTGTACATCTCCGCCTGTATTGACTGCGTCCGGTCTGAATCTGAAGAACCGCATACCTACCGGCATCAAGGGTCCGTTGCTCCGAGCTTGCATCAATCCATATCAAAGCTCCCATGCTGATGCCTCAAGGATTCCGAGCTCAGCCAGTAAGGCTTCAGCCCCGGCCGGGTCTGCTGCACGATCCTCCAGTATGTATTCCGGTGTACATGTTTTTAGACCGGACATGGCTGGAATTAGACCTGCGCACAGCTTTTGCTGGCTGACCCCCGGAGAAAGCCAGTTTTGAATGATTTAATGTCAATGATGCGTTCAGCTCCAAGAGTGAGAATCTAGCAGATTTATGGGCATCTACCAGCCTGTGGGAAGGTGCTCCAGTTCCGGAAATCTACCGCCATCTACCGCCCCTAGTTACGTTCATCATGCATCGACTCCTTTCGGCAACTCGCTGCCAAGCCTGTGATCCCGCCTTGGTTTACACTCACGGGACCTGTGGGTGGCTCGCAGGTGTCTAAGGCCTAAGGCTGTAGCTCTCTGAAGTGCCGGCATCAGAAAGCGCTTCCCATCGATTCGTGCCAGGACTGGCAACTTTCTTGCGCAGGCTTCTAGAGCTTGAGGCGCCATCCGAGTGCCTCGAAGGGTGAGGAGCGGCAAGTCCGCCTCAAAGCAGTAGCCGAGCAGCTCCTGGCAGCAAGGGTCAAGCTTGCACAGGTGCATGACACAGGCGCTGCAAAGCCAGCCGTGCACCTCTGCCATGCTCTCCGGAATGGCCAGCCCTGTCCAGGTCACAAAACCGGAGCGCTAAGCAAATGCACTGCATCTCAGCCTCGTGACAGAGCTCCAGCAGCTATGTCTGGGGGGCCTCTCCCTCATTGACTCATGGCTGCACTTCAAAAAGAGCGAAGCGTCTGCGAGGGCACTGAAGGTCCTTGGGCAGATCGAGCCACTTCGGCCCAGGCCGTCTTGTCCCCCTTCAAGATCCTCGCTGTAAAAGTTCGCAAAATATCACAAAGTGAGCTTAGATGAGCTTAGCAGGCCTGAGCCGAAGCCCGCTGTCAAGCCCACTAAGCATTCCGCAGGGGTCCTGCAGGGCTTCTTGGCAGTCTCTTCAGAAACTGCACTGCATTGCATTGCTGCAGTAGCAAGCGATGCCTCCTTGAGGATCGCTGCGGTGTAGGGCGACAGTCCGTCGTCAGCCAAAGCGCGGGGGTCTGCCTGACCCATCTGTGCTTGTCTCTCCTCTGCGTCGCAGCCCCAACGGGGACCCCACACCAAGATCGAGAATCAGCTGTGCTGCCACCCTTGGGCCGCCCTCCTGGCAGAGTCAAGCCACCTGCTTGAAAAACTGCAACCACCCTGGCGACCAGAGCCTCCATCTCTGCGGCCAGACGAGCGCAAGCAGCAGGATCCTGGCTGGACGCACATCATTCTGTGGTCTTGCAGGTGGCAATGCCGTCAGGGAGACGCAAGCGCCAGACGCAATCTTCCCAGCAATGATGCCAGATGCGGCAACCAACGCATGCCTGGCATAGTGCTGCCAGTTCGCCAACTCATCAAGAAAAACATGCACCTGAGCGCCAGGCGATAGTGGGTTCCGAAGCTGGGTATGGCCGAAGGGTGCAGCCTTCAGATCGCCGGGACGGACAGCTGCAGAACGAATCATGCTGCAGTATTGCGAAGCCCGGCGCAGACAAATCCCCACGCCGACTACCAGTTACTGGCAGGTTACTAGCATGATCTAGCATAGTGTTTAGGCTTATTGCTGGTCCATCGCATTGGGCAAGACCACGCTTTCAACTTTCCATTCAGAGCCTGCCTCACCAGGCGGGACCAAGCGCAACGTGAGCTGAACATCGTGACCACCAGCGATGGAGAGCTGGGCCTTGTGGCGCTTTTTAAAACATGTCGTTGCACGGGCATGCTGCCACTTGCTTTGCACAGACTGCGCTGGACTCCCCAAGCATCCAGCTCGCCCCTCGGCTTGAGGGAATCCTGAAGCCGTGTCCACCTCGAGCTTGCCATCGCACTCCTCCGCACCCCCGCAGGCCTCCAAAAATCGACAGGATTAATTTGAAGTCCTGTGGCTTGCTCCAGATGCATGCAGCCCATGGTGGATCTGTCCATGAAGCTAAAGGCGTCCTGCAAGCCAGCACAGCAAAAAGAAACTTAAGAAACTTGACCTCGAGAGCGCAGATCCTACAATATTCTCGACAACCGGACTGGCCAAGCAGTCCTCGTCAACAAGTCGCTGGAAGCTTGAAACCCCCTGGACCTCGTGAATTCGCGGGCGCAAGCCAACAAACGACCTTTAAACCGTGTAGCTGTTTCCCCGTGATTGCGCACAGCACCACCCCCACCCTGATGTTGAATATCTTGGTGACCGCAACAATACTGCACGTTGGGGTGGCCATTAGTTGGCGGCCGAAATGATCCGAACAGGGAATCTTCGGAATGGGAGTGACAGAACGGTGCGATCGGACCATCCCACTGCATGCAAGGAGATACAAGTGCAAAGAGCAAGATCGCCTGGGCACACCAATCACGATCTGGCCGTTGAACCAGAAGGTATTGATGCACACCTGCACTTGCGTGTGCCAGGGTAAAGCTTTCTTTTGTAGAAATCTAGTGGAGATTACTAGCTACAGCATGCTAGGTCCCAAATTTGCTGGAAATGTGGCATGTTCACCAATGGCTCCAGACAGCAACCAGCATGGCGGACCGTCTTGATGTGCAGGTACCACCAGTACTGCCTCAGACAACAAGCACGCATGACTGCCCGACAAGTGACTAAGTTTGTGGAAGCTGCGCCTTTGAGCACCATCTATATTCCCGTCTTCCGTTTTTGTGGTGTCCCAAGACACAGTTGAGAAAGGTGCCATGTAACCGACCCACACCCGCTAGGTGGATCCTGATTTCTTGACTATCCTGTATGCCGTGGGGGATTTACATCGGCAAACGCGCCTACTGTGTGTGGTTCGTTGGGCGCAAGTGCGTCAACACTTTCTCCGCACCCCCTTGTCAATTACCGTCCGGGGATGTCAAGGTCATCTAGGACAGCAATAAGTCTCCGCGTCACATGCCAAGGGATGATCATGTTGAAGCGTATAAGAAACTTTGCCACGCGCCTGGTCTTGCCGAGGATTATCCTGAACGTGCTGCCTTCGAGCGCCTGACAAAAGAAGCACAAAGCCCGTCACGCTGTTTTGCCGAAGCGTGATGCTTTCGAGAAACAAGGCAGCAGGCAATCTTTTCCACGCATGCATGTGGGAAGCTAGCCGCGAGTCAGCGTTCACCTAAGCAGTCGTCCGTGCAAAGGATCCAGTTCAGCTGCAAACCCTGCTGAGATCTAAGAAATGTTCTCATGCCCATCTGACCGGCGCTGCGCACGCTTCTGCTCTGCAACTTATCTTGAGTTGCATGTAATAATCTTAGCGTGGACAACAGCAATAACACGCTCGCAAAGGAGGCACGATGGCAGCCCTGTGGGACAACACAGAAGGGCTATTAAGCCGATTGACGTGTGCGCGGCTCCAAGCGCCGTCGTGCGGATATCCTGGCCCAGGCAGCCATATGCAAATTCAGGAATCCTGCGGAGTGAGACAGCCAAGTAGGAAACACTGTCCATGTGCAAGGCTCCGGCAGTGGCAGTGATGTGTGCAAACTGCAAAACTCTCCAGCATCGCAACATATTGCAAACGACGGCCCTCAATCTTATCTAAGTTCTCCAAAGCTTGCAAAGATCAGTGTGGTGCTTTGGTACTGCTGTACAGCTTCTGTCGCAGCAAGCTTCGCATCTTTTGGATTCAGCAGCAGCCTCATTTCGTGCACGCTTTGGACTGGGCTCGAAACTGACAAAGGAACTTAGATCCACCCCCAAGGTCAGAACCTTGCAAAGCTCAAAAAGCTCCTCTGGCTCATTCTTCATATTTGCTGCATCATTCCAAAAGCCCTCAACATCTTGTAGTGTCAATCCTTGTCGTCCGTTCCCAGATTGCAGGTTGTGCTGATTTGTAGCCCACGCGGCATGAATCCCGATCTTCCTCAGAACCTGCTCTTTGTATTCTTGGCTAGTCCTTCCATGCCCCTGTGGCTGCCTCAAGCTGTCTTCAAAGCTCAACAGCTGGAGAACAAAGCCGGAATTAGGCCAGAGCCGCCACCTAGCAGAAGCCAATCGGTCGAAAGCCTCCAGGAAAGATATGTTTAGCTTGGTCATCAAACAGGCTGCAGCCACGCTGGCACTGCGCGAAGCTCCTTGTCGACAAGCAATGAGTGTTGTCCCAGATTCAGACATCGCAAATCTGACAGCAGCCGTCAGTAGAGGAGTCAAATCTTCGTCAGCACTGTCGCGCACTGGCACAACATGCAGGTTTGAGGCAGCAATACCTGAGATGGGCAGTGCAGTCTGCAGTCTGGAGACGTGGACATCGCGCTCGGGCTTGCCACACACAACCACTCGTGCAATCGCATGCTTCTGCAGCAGACTTGCAATCGCATCCGGCGAGAGCTCACCAAGGCCACATAGCCTCAAGCCGCAGCCTACGTCGCTGACCTCTGCATGCGGAGGTGCCTTTGGCTGGTCACAGAACATATCTAGATCAGCAGAGCTCTTACCGAGCAATTTCTGCTTGCATTTTGCGAAGGCCTCCTCAAGCTCAAGTCCTTCTGTTGAACATTCATCCCATGCGGCCTCTGCTTCAGCGCGGCTTGCACCCACACCATTATGCCATGCGGTTGCCCAAGCTGCGTGCGCGCCGATGCGACGCACCAACTCCGGCTTCCTGATGCTCTTGAAGCGCGAGGCTGCCATGGACATCAGGGAGTTGACAAGAAGCGCACTCGGCCATATCCTCCATCTTGCCCCGGCAACAAGCTCGAAGGCGGTTTCCAAAGTCAAGTCGTTACTCAGCAAGTATGCAAGGACCACTGCAACACTTCGAGATGCACCCTTGCTGCATGCAACAAGGACTGCATTGAGCTCATCCTGCAGCGCGTCTTGCATGAACGCAACAGCTTCGTCCAATATTCCGCGTATATCGGATGGGTCTGCTGGAACAAGTGGAGCTATGTGAAGCTCCGTGCTGAAGCCTGTAACTGCTTTCTGGGTAGCCGCAACATGTGAGTCTTGACAGGATCTGCCACAAAGCACCAAGTGGGTCACGGCGTGCGTCTGCAATATCAAGCCGATGGCTTCCGCACTCTGTCCACCTCCGACCCCGGCAAGCAGCAGCCGGTCCTAACATGCAGAACATTGCAGAAACACACAATGCACAGGACAGAGGCATTAGAAGCAGCAAACCTGGACAGAAAACTGGTGGCCTACATTGTACTATGTAGTAGCAACATGCCAGTGTGCGAAACAGATGGTCAATATGGCTTCTTGGCCAGTGCGCTAAGACATTTCTCGGGTGTCCTGGACCTCCGAGACCTGCGGACAGGGGCCTGGACTCTCCTCAGCCATGGGACTACCAGTTTGACCCGTGCCCCCAACACCACGCTTTGAAGTAAATGCTGCGGCTTTGAGGCCCGGGGTGAGTCTCTCTTCACAGAAAAACAGCGTGCTACCGCCTGTTTTGCACGGGTGCGCACGGGGTGTCAATGCATGTTCTTTGGGACTTAACCTGTGCGTGAGACAAGAGGGCAATGCCTGCTTACAAAAAGCTGCCAGGTTGGCCAAGCAGAACTTTAAGAGATCTACACTTTGACCACTGCTTGCAGGCTGCCCATTAGGACGGTGTCACCCTTTGTCGAGCATCATTGTCTCAAGGACACAGTCAGAGAGACGGCGGATTTGCTCGTCGTAGTGCAGCTGGCCAAGTCTATACAAAAATCCAGGTAGAGCACGCGAAGGACCTAAGACTACTTGCAACCGAGCTGACACACAGCGAAGGCGCAGCCCTTTGCACCTGGACGTCTGCCAGGCCAATGAGCAAGACTGCAAGTTGCAGGCAATGCCACAGGGAAATCCAAAAGTTCAATCTCTTCCTCGAACAGATGGCATAATTCTGAAAACTGATGCCACTCGTACAAACAACCCATCTTGCTGGAGCATGTTGTGCGCCAGAATTCCAGCAACCAGAAGGTTTGCAAAATGGAAACATGCCAGGGAAGCTTCCTTGTGGATGCTTTCCTGTCTAAATCTGCGTTGGCAGAAAGGCTTTCAAGTGCACAAGAAAGAACTATGTGATTACTATGTTGTTCGACGTCACACAGAATCAATTCATCCTGAGCCAATCTTTCCGTACTGACGGAGCTAGCTAAGCACTCAGGCATGATCAGGTCAGTCATCATCCTCACAGCTGAAGACGCAGGATAGAAAACAGAGAGACTGCCAGAAAATTAGAATTTGGAGAGACCGCCCAAAAAACAGGATTGCAACTTCCCATCTTCAAATTTGCTGGAGAGTGAACTGCCTTCCAATGGTGATAGTGCAAAAGCATCCGGGGTGGGCATGGTACCCCTGATCACTACGCCTGCCAATACCATATGTCCGTCTACGCCTACGCAGTTCTGCCACTGAACTGCTCGATCCCGAGAGGTTGTGCAAACGATAAGCAATCAAACGGACTGATTCACTACTGCCCGAATCGACTGTTGGCAGCCATGTTGCAGAATCCCAATCGTTGGCTTGATCTCCTTCAGGAAATTCCACACGCACCTCAGCCCGGCAACAGAATGGACGGCCTCAAATCGAAACCGCCACAAAGCTAATTTCATCCAAAGCACATCGTACACGAAGCCGTCATCTCCCGGCTTCGTTTGGTGAGCCCGGAAGCTGACGTCCATGCGGGCCTCGGGGGTGTTGGCTGCGTGGTATTGCGTTCCGTGGAATAGTACCGCTGTCAGAACCCACTAGCATTGCCAGTGCCAATTTCCATCTATTCCATGTATTTTCTTTTCCTGCACAGTAGATCACAGTGGCCACCTTGTGCTGGGCAAGCTGGTCGTCATCAAGCTTGTTGAGATCAACCTGTGGCTTCCGATAATCTGGATACTTTAAACAGACGAGTCAGCTCTGGCCTGGTGATAGTCGATCTCTTGATTCGTGGGCCTTGGCTTCAAGACTTTAGAATTTAGATACGGTATAGATACGGGTGTAATGCACTGTCATCAACGACTAAACGACTCAACTTTGCCCTGACAATGGTTTCTGCTGACTCTTCTGGTTTACTGCCTGCGAACTTGCAAGGCTCAGCGCGAGCAACTAACCTTGCATAGCAGAGTACGCATGTGGCATGAGCCCACGTATCAGGGCCTTTGCATGCCAATGCCCTCCAAGATGGAAGCTAGCAAGCATGTGCATTGACATGAGCGTCGCATGGAGTCGCTCTTGCTGAAGTCGGTTCGTGAGGTATGTGAGGTAGTGCATAGAAAAGCTTGCAGGTCTCCTTGGTCTCATTGCCGCTCTGCACAAAGCTTCTGCCACTGAAACTCTTCAAGGAGGACCAACGTTTCCGGTCTCGCCCTCAGCAGCTTCTAGGCGAGTGAGGCGCTCTTCTCCTTCAGCCAACCTGAAGCATCAAGGCATAACAAGGCGCTTGAAAGTGAGATCCCACAGTGGCGATACAAGGAAAACCAATCTTCTTATGCAGCGTTGCCACAGTTGCCGCACTGAGCTTTGCCTCCAACCTGATAGATCACCTTGCCATCCGAGTCCTCCAAACCTAGAAGGGGGCGTAGCCGCAGTTTGAGCTTGAAAGTACTTTGGCTTGAAGCGCCACATCTGGCTAAGCAGCTGCATTGACCGCCGAACTGGACCAGGCTGCTCCCATCGCGGCCAAACGTCATCGCGGCAGCCGCATCGCAACATGGGCAGGTTGGCCAGACTGCAAAAACCGCAAGATGGGCAGCATCCACCTTGGCGGCGAGGACCAGCAATTGACCCCTATGTAATGCTAACCTAACAAAGTGCTGGGTGCACAAAATGCTGGGTGCTGCCCTACGCTTGCTATTTGGCTGAGACAAGTTGTTCAACATGGCTGAAGCTTCAGAGCTGTCAAGCAGCTCCTGCATAGCCAGCGTCATCCACCATCCGCTGAACCTTGACGAGCAAAGCGACGACACAAACGCGACCGCCGCAAGTCGGCATTCGAGTGGCTACTGTACTCAGCTGAGGCACAACATCCCGCAGCGTCGAGCTGTCAGCTATTGTTGGAGGCAACCTGCTGTCAAGTCTAGAGTCCAAAAGACAAGAAAGCTGGAGAATTATCAGCGAAGCCAATAACAACTGCACAAGCTTTCAGCAGATTTGCCAGAACAAGACGAACCAACGAACCATCCCACTTGACTTGATTCCACGACATGTGGTGGCAATGCCTTCATGCTTCATGAAAGGACCAGCTTTGACTGAGATTTGACAGGCCGCGGTCGGCTGCGGCGTCCAAAGCTCTTCTGCCAGCAGCTGCCGCGCACTGCGAAGGGTGCTGCCAACTCCTCACAGGCTTCACATGAGCCATTGTCTAAACTTAATAAGCCCTATGACGGTCCCTTGTATAATCGCCTATATAACCTTCTTGTAAGGAATTTAGACTATAGCTCATATAGCAACCCAGAATCATCCAGAATCTACAGATTCAATCCAGCCCCAGAAACGCAGCATGAAAAGTCTAGGAGAGGCCAGGCATCAAAACAGTCACCACGAGAGCCAAAGCCAGCCCACAATGCCAGAATCTGCCTCAAATGAACAGGACAGCAACATGGCCACACAGATTTGGCAGGGCGTCTGTGTAATCCCAATATACTATGGTAAATTCCATTTTCTTTTCCATTCTCCCCTATATAACCCCAATATACTACAGTAGTTAAGAACTTGGAAAGTAGCAGACCTTAGCTCCCGGAGCTCCATGTCGTCAGGCAGATGTCGGTCAAAGCTGCTGCAGGGCTCGTCTGATGCTCGCTCGAAGCCATCTCCAAAGGTTACTCGAATCAGGGACATGCGAGTTGAAAAGTCGTGACTCTGACGTTTCATGCTTGACTTCGCAGCTACCATCCCTGCACATATTCGTTGCTTCCGGCATGCAGGCTTGAAGGGTGCTGAGCTTCACGGAAACTTGGCAATGCCAGGGCTGAGCATCAATGCTATCCGGAGATCGAAAACTGAAATGGCTCCCCAATCAGGCACCGGAGTGATAAATGATATTGCCGCCGTTGGCATGATTGAGAAAGCGGCGTTTCTGGGTCATCAGATGCCTTCACACCATCGTTTGACCTGTAGTGGCGCAAGACTCGTCCACATCATTGTTCCCAAATTCCCCCTAAGTTGAAGCCATTCATTGCATTTCCGACAAAATTCAGTCGCCCAAACTCCGCACAGCAGCGCAAAGGCTGAAAGTGATCCACATGATATCTTGCGCTGTCCGCCACTCGAACTCTAGCTCCGCTGCTGCCGAGGGAGAGGCATGGATTCTTGAAGCTTCTTGACCTTTGGACAGACATGGAATCGGAATGCGAATTTGCAACAGGGCCCTGAAGCACTAAGCTTGCTGCGAGCGAAACGATCTGATCAAAGCAGACTCCGCTGTCCTCCCAAGCTCTGAAGTTCCCAAGCTGCGGCTTCGGCATGGACTAGATTTCATGCATGCTGCACGCTATCAAAGATTTTGTCAGATGCCCAATGGATGCGAATTCCACATTGGACGTTCATCTCGCTTCACGAGGGGTAAGCTCGCACAAGTGATTCTGCAGCAATGAAGCACAAACCGGAGTGCATCGCAACCAGCACTCCTCTGTAAGCAGCGGCCGATTCTTTTGGCGTAGCCTACACACAGGGGAGTTCATAAAACTGCGACATTTTTGGGTACCCTAAATCCGCCGCCGCGGAGGCCGGAGGCCGGGGTGTCTAGATCTAAGAGCCCCATATCAAAATTATTCCCCCTACCCCTTGCGCCGAGATGGCACTCGCGCCAGCGATCAAACTAAATCTTAGAGGCCGCATTTTCATGGGGCTCAAGAGCGACCATCGGTTTTGGCGACCCACCACAAATAAACGATCAAGAGAAATAACAACTAGAGCGATTGCAACAATGTTCCACAGTTCTCCACAACAAACTGCAGCGACTCCATCTGCTTTCTGAGAATGCAGCTTTTCTGCAACTCTCGCTGGATCTGCAGTGGCCCGCAACCTCTTGAGGGCCACCTGAAAGAAGCTACCAAGCAAAGCATGGGGCTATGCTGCTCACAGTCCTCTTTTATTTTCGCCTTGCGGTGAAAGAGCTTGCCGGTTTTGACCTAGCTGTGCACGAAGCAGGACGAACTGTCTTGCTCAACTGGCATACCTGCCCTCTACCGCGCAGCAATATGCTGTGAACGCCCAGGCCCACCTCCAGGTACTCAAGGATGATCGCTGGTGGGTCATAGTTCAGCCCGAAACGTCGTGGACAAACCTGCACCAGTGTGATGTATTTCTCGAGTCTTCTTTTGCCCAAGCTTTCCTGCTAGCCGAACCGCCCCTTGGCCATGCAAGATGCAGCTGACCAACACTGCTTACAAGACGATAGCCGAAGTTGCCCTCAAACTTGAACCCACCGTACAAGCACTTGCCAGGAGCACGTGACATTCAGAAAGTGCTCGTGTTGGGGTGCGTTGACTGGCTCTGAATGGCTGGGGCGCGCTATCCTTAGGCCCAGAAAATGGCATTTGAAAGAATGGCGTTGTCTGAGAACTCCAGCATTGACAAGCAATCCCTGAAGCCCAAGAAGACGGTCCCATCAACAACTTTTGCAAAGCAAAGTTTCACATCGAAACATGGACCTAACGCATTGGACTCCTCATCTTATCTCATCATTTCAGACCGTTTGTTTGAGCCGGTCCCTGCGCGGACATCGCTCGACGTAAGAAACCCAGTGTTGCAAGGTACGGAGATCGCCTCACCGGCCAGCTCTGGTGAGGACATCGATCATGGAAGTCGCTACGCAGTCCAGTCTGCTGTATGTTTTGAATTTTCGGGGCGCTAATGGACTCGTTCAAATCCCGATAGCACTTTCAAACCGATATGTGCTCTGCCTTTCTTGATTCAAGTTGCACATGTGCTGAGAACAATGTGCGATGCAGTAATTAGTAGCGGCAATCATGTCACTGCCGTGGGCTGCTGTCGGCTTGAACCTTCACAGTAGCTGAGCTTGTGGGTTCCAGGGGAAGCCAGGGACAAAGCTGCAAGGCCACTGCTTTCTGCAAGGCCATCCCTCTTTTGATGGGCGAGTTCTGCAAAGTGGCCACATCCATTGCAGTCCTACACCACGAAGCGCAGTGTGGCCGTCCACCCCTTTGCCACTCGCTGCTCTGGTGACAAGAAAGCTCGCCCATTCACGTGGCGAACGACCTGGGGAAGCAAAAGCAAGTGGCTGGATGATCTTGCATTCCAAGCGTTTCTCACATCAGCGGCTCTTGAAACGACATCCTAATCTCAATTTGTTGGAAAGAGAATGAGGGATAGAGAGAGAGAGAGATAATATATATGTATATCTTATAGAATGCATTTGTCATTTGTGCTCCTGATGTCGACGATGTCAAAGCCTTGTCTTTTACATTTGAGTTGCCAAGTAACAGTTTGTACCGTCATCAGTAAGAACGGGTACATGTAACCAGTCAAATTAAGTCTAAAAACCTCCAGCGTGGCAAACGGTCATTGGACTTAGCCCCACACGGCCAGCTGCCGGTCGTGTTCATCCCCTGCGAGGCGGGGGTTTGCAGGGTTCTTGGCACTTCCTGGCTTGCGTGATGACCACTCTTGGAAGCAGCCAAGCCACTGTAGTCCAGCTGAAACGTCCCATATTTTGCATGGGCGTCCTTGAGTGGTGAAACTGCTCAGCGGGAACCATGCGAGGCACACAGCAAGAAAGGAGTCATGTCCCCTCACAAAAGATAACTTGCAGCAAAGTCGCCATACCTTATGGGCACATTTTCAACAACTGGCATAAGGAACCAGACCGCAACATGCCAGATTATGCCAAACCATTCACTGTCATCTCTGGTAGAGAGGCGTCTTCGGCCTATGTGCACAAGGCCAAAAAAAGTTGCATAAAATGAGCACGGCGATAAAGGGGTTCTGCTTCTATGCCTTTGCAGTATGTGTTGGTGGCTTGGTCTGAGTCAATTTGCTTGCAAGTGTGCTCATCTTGGTCTAGTGGCTGCTGTTGACATGAATGCTGTAAAGGCCAAGGCGGACACGCGCAAGCGGTGCCGAATGCTTACTCAAGTTTATGGCTCCATGCTTCCCAATCGAGGTGCCGTTCTGAAGGATGTCCTCCCGCTGCGCCACACCCAAGGTTTCTTCTATGAACTCACCCTTTCGCACAGAGGAACCTGATCCACAATCTGCAACGTTTAAGCGAAGAGTAGTCATAGAAGTCTATCCTACTCGACATGCCATCAGTGTTGAGGGCTAGAACCGAAGAACGGAACTGCGCTAAGAAGCCTGGCCCAAAGATGGTGTTTCGATAGTGCGTCGTGCTGCAGATGTGAGGCTTGTCGTAGAAGAAGATCAATGGCCTACACCAGGTGGCAGAGGTGGCAGAGGTGGCAGAGGTGGCAGTGCGTGACATGTTCTCTGAAGTAGGTACCCTGCCACGTCTTCCCAGAGATGCGGGCTTGGGCAACCAACTAAGCCAACTTCAACATTTTCGAGTTTGGTCAAACAATCAAACAAATGGTTGCACACATGAATCCGGGATGCATTAACGGCACACCGAATTCTGTGGTGCACCGTAGGGACAACCCATACTTTGATCGCATCACGTGGTCGTAGTTCAGGGTTGAGACACCTCTGCAAGCGATGACTTTGCGTGCACTGTTTTTCCTACCTCGAGCGAGGATGGCAGGTAAGATGCTGGATCTGACAAGACACTTGACAAGCCGACGTACTTGACAATTTCCGGATGCCGAGACATTGTCTCCAGTACCGCTGGCAGATCGAAGCCAGCAATGAACTCTTGGTCATGTTGCACTACGAGTACGTACTGGGTCTTCACTTCGGCAAGGGCAGCCTTGACTGCAAAGCCAAAGCCATGGTGGCCATCGAGGGAGAGAACATGAGTGCCGACGAACGCACTGCTCTTCCCGTGCACGGAAGCCATGGACTCCTCGCGCAACCGCTCAATAAACTGATGGTAGCGATCTGCCTCTTCAAGCCTCAGAAGAATCATCTTTGCAAATGCTGGATTTCCCAAACTCCCATGGTATTCTCCCTTCCTTCAAAGACTCGGCGAGCGGCGACACCTTGCCTGCTTTGTGGTTGGTCTTCTGCCCTGGAGGCACACACCTGCAGCCATCGCAAACGATGATTTTCGGAGCTGCTCCAAGTCCAGGCACCAAATCAAGGCCTCACAGCTGGTCGGTCAGTCCATGGATTCAGAACAGCCATCATGCGAAAGTCTTTTAGGCCTATCCTTCTTGTGATGCCCGGTGGCTGGCAAGGACGCGCTCGAGCAGTTCCGTGTTGGGGTTTGATGGCACTGGGCTTGTTGTCACAATGACAGACAGCAGCATGCCCTGCCCCTCGTTAAACGATTGCCCAACTTGCAGCTGGTCTGCGAGTGGTGTCTTGGCAGTCTGCCGCCAAAAACAGCATTGTGCCGGAAGGGGAGTTCCCCAGTACACAGCCCGAAGCACACACTGCATGCAGAATACACTGGGCGGGTTGTGGAATACAATTTCCGCGTCATTAGCGGTCTCAAGCTCCTGCTGCATTCGCTTGATGTTGCCACTGACTCCGTTGACTGCGAGAATGGCGCTAGCGATGTGAAGCCGCCGCCAAGGCTCTCGGAGCTCACAGCATCTCTCATTCCAAGCCTCAGCGACTCCACCTTGTAGGAAACCCGTCACGATGAAACAGCTGCCTATGGTACCATATGCGGCAGCTAAGTTGGCACATGCCACGCCGAAGCGCTGGCACTGGCCACGATGCCTCTGGTCAACTGCCACACTTTAAAAATGAAGATTCGCACTGCATGCACCGAGTGACTAAGCCAAGCGCAAAGTAATTGTGCATTCCATGGACGTCAGACAGTCACTGGACCTACCTTCCGCATCTGGATACTCTGCCGAACCTCCGAAAGTGCAAAGCAGGCAACGTGCAGAATTCAAGGGAGCTTCTCCAGTACCGAAAGCACCACACTTGCCACCAGGGAGCTGCTGGAGTTTTCGGAAATCTTTTCAACCAGCTCTGCAAGCTCAACGGCTGGCAAACACTTCTGTGAGGATATGCTTTGCGAAATTGACAGCTCCTGCTGCAGCTTTGTAAGCTCCTTACTTGCGGGCAAAGAGGAAACAACGCTCGCAACTCTTCTGCTAAGGAGTACACACGGAAAGCAAGCACTTTCAAGCACGACTATCAATCACAGTAGCATCTCGCGATGGACTTGCCATTCCCATTCGCACTGTACGCTTGTCACTTGTCAGTTGGCACGGCCAGAGCAGGTCGCAGGTAAGGCCACCATGGCAAGTATACAAGCATATACAAGCCTGGGTCGTCTTGGTGAGTAAGCTGGAGCCAAAAAGCACAGACTGTAAGCAATACTCGTGCTCTCTTTGCCACGGGAGCGCCACGAATGATGGCACTTACGACACTGCCTTTACATTTACATGCCTTGATGCAGCCTTCCACAGGCTGGTTGCTCGCGTCGGCTTGGTGGCAACAATCAGGCCGGGCCCGCTCATCTCCTCTGATCCCGTCAGCACCTGCCGTTCTTGTGTCACGCAGCAGCATTGAAAAAAAACATGCCGTAATTCATCATAATTCAAAGGCTTCGATGCGTCTTCTCGCATGCGTCTTCCAAGCCGACCCTCAACAATTCGTATTCCCCTGAACACTCACCTAACTCCAAGGCAAGAGCTTGACCCAGAGTTTGTTGCGTTCTCTCAAAATCTAGACTGTACAGACTCAGTTGTACCAGTGTCCTTTGCTTGGTCTAGTACCACTTTTAAACGAAGCTTGTTTATGGTCCCGGTCCAAACAACTCCAAAACGCAAGCGATACACAAGGTTTAGGACTCTAGCAGTGGAAGTTGCTTATTTGGGTTGGCTTGTGGCGCTGGGACTGCTGCGCTCTCCAAGATGTCCAGCTTTTTGGTACGAAGATAAGAATCCATCGGACTTCATGCTGGGACGTTCTTGCGGTTGTGGCATGTCTTGACGTCTCGATGCATGTCTTCGAGAGACGTGTGATACCCGTCGTTTCTCAGTGCTCCTGCCAGCCCTCCTCCAGAGCTTCACATGCCGTAAGATAGACCTCACTGGTCCTCCTGTATGCAGAAAGGGTCCCAGGGGGTTCGGTGCTTCACACGCTTGCAAGATTTCACATGCATCAAACCCTGTCCACCGCAAGAAAGTCCCGAGCAGCGACTCATTGAACAATCGCGCGACCTCATAAATAAACCGGATTGCTTGCGCCCAGGCATGAAAGCAACAACCTTTCACGTCTGTGCCGCTTTTCGCTTCCTCTGACATGCCAGGTGGGCGAGGGAGCGCGTGGAATGAGCGGGGTGAGTGAAGGGGGGGAGCTAGGTGTTGAAAGTTGTTGTTCGCCGGTTGATGCTGGTTGCTTCTTTGTACTTGCTCCACGCTCCACCTATTCACAAAGTCAATCGTTAGCGGCCTTCCATGTCAGTGCAAGACTAAAACTCAAGCCGGCAAAGCTAAGCCTGAAGCTTCGGCCCACGAGCAGGTCCGCAGGTGTTGAGCAGCCAGCCCTGGTTCTGCACGTCACCTGAACGGGGCAGCTAGCGACGATGCGAACGCATCTGCCACATTGAAACCTCGCTCACAACTGGAATGCCTAGCGAGAAGCTGGAACGTCTGGATGCTCGGAAAACTGAGAGAGGGGGCATGCGAGGTGAACCCTATAAGTTTGAGAACCGCCTTTGAGTAATTCCCACTTCTGGGAATCTGGCTTTTAGGGCTCAAAACCCTAAACCCTAAACCCTATCACTGCACATCTACTCAGAGCATATTCCGAAGCAGCCAGATGACAGACCGTCTAGGTCTCATTAGGTCTCGCATGCGCATCTATGAAAGTTGCAATGCCAACTTATATGCAAATGGCAAAAATGAAGCGGCTGAGCGGCCTGGAGCATGGCTCTGCAAAGCCCGGTGAAGCCCTGCGGAGCAGGAAGGCCTCAGAGGAGTACCACTTCTTGCGCAGCATGCGCAGCAAAAGCTGAAGCTAACGAAATGAAATGGCTGTTAGATCAAAGTGGTTCAGTGCTGTTCATCCACTGGCCAGCAGTAGTGCAAAGTAGTGCAATGGCCTGACCTGGCTGGCCTGTTTTCGCAGGATTCTGCACGTCGCTCAGAGGTTCGCTGACACGTGGACACGAGGGGCCCTGTTTCAGGCTTCGGGAAAATCCAAACCATGCCAAAACGGCTCCGCTGGGTACGCAACTTCGTTGCTCGCCTAGACAAGCAGTGAAAAGCCGGGATGGAAGCACGCAACCAAAGCACGTGGCTCTCCCTGCCGACTTACCAAAATTATCCTGATGAGTGAGAGATTCATATACTTGAGTCATTAGATTTGATTAGATAATTGAGTGATTCAGGAGTTGGTGGCCAAGGCCGCAAAGAGGCCGGACATCAAGACCGTGGCTGCTGTGTGCCGTCGGTGGCCCGTGTTGCTAACGTGGCCTGCGGCTTCTGTCGTCACGGCCTCTGTCGTCCCGACCTCTGTCGTCGTGCTATCGCCCCAAACCGCTGAGCAGGCTGCGCTTCCTCCAGAGCAGGCCACCTCCGTGTCATAGGTGTATGAACTCGTGGAGGGACCGTTGTGGCAAAGCAGATCCGCGTTGGTCTGGAAGCCGGAGGAGGCACCGGAGAAGCCAAGGTCAGCAGCGGTGAAACCCCACGTGCTTGACATCACGTCAAGGAGGTTCTGCCCATAATAGCTCTTCCCAGCATTCTCGCGAATGCCTTCGGCGTCAGCTGCAGGAAAGCCGTAGAAGGTGCCGCGCTTGGCTGCATTCTTCAGCATCCACCAACGCATGCTGCGGTCCACGTTTGCATGATGGAAGAAGAAGAGGGGGTCATTCGGCGACGTGACCGGGTCCTCGAAGTCGCCGCTGTTGCCGCCCGAGCTGCTGCCCACCTGAGCGGGGTTCAGAATTCTTATCCGCTTTCTTTCACAGTTTGACGGTAAGGATTGGGAACGTGGGATGAACATGACATTTTGCAACCAATAGTAGCATGGACCCCAAACTAGAGCTCACGGCGCAACACGTGGGACGATTTTGCTTAAAACCAGCTTCCGAACCCCACACATGTGCTTACAGCAAGCTCCTTGTTATCATTGCCACTCGCTACAGTAAAGGGGTTTCCCACTGTGGGGTTTTGAATTCCGCTCACCTGCCCATGTGGTCCTCCGTGGAGGCTGCCACTGACAGTCGCATCACCCTCGACGCACTTGTACCAGTCATACCAAAACCCGTCCAAGTTCGCGCAGACCCAGAATTCGTTAGCATCGTACGAATAAGTGCTCGAACCGAAGCGTGTCGTCATGGCATTCGCATTGTTGTTGGTGGGCCCCCGCAGCATGCCAATGGGCGAGCCAGTGTATGGAGAGCTGCCGTTTGGGTTGTAATCTGAGAAGGAAAAGTCCGTCTTGATCCACCAGTTCGGGAAGGCACCATCGACAACTTGAGAGTCGGACCCTGTGCCAGGAGCACTTCCGAAGTAGGTCTCCGAGAAGATGGACGGAGAGGTCACTGTTGAGTCCCAGTATGGCAACCCACCAATGGTGCTGTCCACAGACAGCAGCGCATTCTCGAATTCCAAGACGAAGGCACTGTGCCAAGTCATGAACTGAGGGCCAAAGTGAGCCTGGTCGCCGCGCACATCAGAATACGCCGCAGCGTGTTTGGTCGGGAAGTAGTCATAGGTACGGAACGCTTGGCCATATTTTTCGACACCGGCCGCCTGTGTCGTGTTCTTCATGACCCACATGGCGTCCGTCACCTTCTTCCAATCTGCTGCGCTCAGCGTTCTCAACTCCTTGCGCACTCGTTGTGTGCTTTGATCAACCGTTGGTGCACTGCAAGTAGGGCATTGCACCACCGTCGACGCATTGGCAGGCACGGTAATGCGGAACAGGAGCTTGTTGTCCCGCTCCAGGTCGGAGGACCAAATCATCTTCGACCTCGTCTCCGACAAGACGGCCATCGGATCCAAGCACTCCTGTTCCGTTACTGTAACAGAAACCCCGGCCGGTTCGGTGCTGTTGTAATTGACGGAGCAGCCGCCATTGTTTGTCAGCGTTTCCTTAGTTGCTGGGCTTGTGGCCGTACCACAGCAATTCCTGGTCGCGTCCCAAGTCGGTGTCCTCCCCCAACCCGCCTGCGCAGCGGTGTATTCAGTTGCTGACGCCCAACCACCGCTGGCCTTGTAGCCACCAGCCATCCATCCTGCAGGCTCTGCCGACGAAACGACCGCACATGGTGCCAGATTGCTGCTGCTGCAACCTGCCGCAATGGACGCGTCGGTAGGCCCGTGTGTCAGCACGAAGACATCCCAGGCAGCGCCAGTTACCGTGCCATCCGAAAACTCCGCCATGAGCGACCCGTCACCAAGTCCCGGGTTGGAGGTCTCGACGTACTCGTATCCGGAGCTGCTAGCGTAGTCCATGCACATAATCGCGTACTCCTTGTCGGAAGCGCCGTCCCATTCGAACGAGACCGCAACCGCATTGTGCGGCGTGAACGTCATCGGGTCCTGCTTCACGAGAACTCCATTGAACCAAAACTCAAAGTAGTTGTCGCAGTAAATGTAACCCGTGATGGTCTGTGGGCCAGTCACGCTCGTCTTGCATTCCACGTCGGCATTGATGGTTATGTGCGGCTCCGTCAACGCTATCCCGCCGCCTCCACCGCCTCCCCCTGTTCCACCAGCACCGCCAGCGCCGCCCCCGCCTCCTCCACCTGCTCCGCCGCCGCCCCTGCCACCTTGTCCCGCTGCGCCGGGGAGAAGGGCCGCGGCCACCAACAAGGACAGCATCGAGCGCCGATGTTGGATCATTGGCAGGAAGGGAGACGAGAGCTGACACTGTTATCACTCCGGGCTGGGAAGACAAGGCCGCGAGTTGTGGATCACAAGTTGCCCTCCTAAATGACCTCTGATCAGGCCTCCAAATCCCCGGACAACTCTCGCACATGAACTCAGCACATCGGCTTGCAAGCATGATCCACAGAATCCACAGCAAGCCCAAGGGCACGCCTCGAAATCGCGCGGCAGCAGCCCAAGAGCTCCTGTACGGCAACAAATGCATGTCAGTGGGTGGCGAATGGTGGCGACACATCTACACCGTTGCTGTGCGGGCTGAAACTCTCTCACACACACACAAACATGAAGCACCATCCTGCAAATGGCACATGGCAACACGTCAATGCATACACAGTGAGATAGGGTTGTGGTTCAGGCGCAGCGTTGGAGAGTAATCTCTTGATGTGAGAAATATTCCCTTGTGCTGGATTATGGCAGGTCAAGTCTGCATGGAGCACACTGTGCGGTCAAGCTCTTGCTTCCACAAGTGCTGTAGGGCTTTTCCAAGGAGCTTTAAACCACAACCCTAGCATGCCCTAGCCACTTCGAGGACTTCTGAGAGTAGCCGAAGGGAGACTGCCATGGCAGATTGACATGAGGTTCCTTAAGTCTGAGGCAAGGGCCGAAGCAATATCTGCTACCAGCAACGTACCAGCTACCTAACAGCATGTGTGGATGCACGATCTCACTCAAGACATGCTTGTCCTTCTTTCTGGCATCACGGGGGGCCAAGAGCTCTGTACGCGATGTGCATGTCTGGGACCCGTTCGTGAGAAGTAGATGCCCTGCAAGTTGTTGGAGCACCATGCCTGCCCAATTCAGCATGTTTGCTGCCCATTGTTTGCCGCTGTCAGTCGTTGTACTACGGCCGTTGCTGTAGATCTTATAAGTTCTTCTTCTCTTATCAGGCACGAGGATGGCGAGTCTGAGTGTCCCATCCCGACCACGGGGACCTATGCGACGAAGACGCGACCATCCAAAAGCGTGCGCAGCTACAGTACGAGCATGGCGACCTTGAGAGCGCCAATGCGTGCGACTGTGGGCACTTTACACGCGGTGAAGACACGAGGCTCCAAAAAAGAGGTGACAATTACGAGGATGGCGATCCCAAGAAGTCCCATACCTGTCACTTTCCACGCGCAACAAAGACATGGCTCTTTAAAAGCGACGACAAGAGTTACCAGGATGGCTGCCCCGGGGCGTCATCCCTGTGACAGTTGGCACTTATGAACTTTTCACAAGTGACGAAGAAGCAATGTTGTTCCAAAAGCGAGGACGGTTATCCTACGCCGCCCAGCGCAGCGTGACTGTTTGCACCTGTGACACGCGACGCAGGAACGACGGTCCAAGAGCGACAACACCTAAATTACGAGGATGGCGACCGGCAAACGCCTGGAAACGCGTGTTGGTCAGGTGGTCGTCGTTAAGATCTATAAATGATGGGCACCTGATAGGTCTCAAGTGGTCTGGGCCTTCAATCAATTTGACTCGTGGAGTACCAGACCCCGACACTGAAAACGGGAACCCCTCCGCAGAGCACTCGGCAATAGGAAGGTTGCATGGAACAACCAAGCAAGATTTTACGCATAGCATGACCACATTGACCACGCAGAGGTAAGGAACACTACCAGAGGAAGAGAGGTTTGATTCGACCACCAAACGTCATCTTACCCGCCCTCTGGCCAAAAAGGCCAAAAAAATGTACAAGATTGGATGCAAACACAAGCAGCATTTTAGGCGTACAAAGACCGCGCAAAGGAAATGACACCAAAAAATGAGGAGGAAGGCCAAATGCAACGACCAGGCATGATTTGCTCAGTACCATGACGATGCAAAAGCATGCCCTAACAAAGAAGGAGCATGGAGCTCCAATACAACCAGTGAGCCTAATGTTATTCGTGCCATGCTTATGCATGGGTAAATTCAGCGAACACTACGTACAGGAATGGCGGGGTCTCAATGAAACAACAAATTGCCTGTATCAAGACCAGGAACAGGCATTGAACACAACACGAGGGAAAGATGCAGTGCAACCTAGCGGCATGATGATGCTTGTCGGGTAGTGATCCCGACAGACGGGCCGGGGAGGTTTGACACAATGACCAACACGGTTGATTTGTAGCATGACTTTGCAAGGGTTGTGAACATTGAAAGGGGAAGGCTGGCGTCACAAAAGTGGCCATGTGAGGATGCTTTCTTACCTCGTCGCACAATAGTGCCAAGCACGTTTTTGCGGGCTTTGCCTGACAAATCCTGGCGGACTGTCCTCTCACAACAATTTTAACAAAGTCTCTCACCACAAACCCAGGTGTTAAGCGCGAGCACTTGATGCACGTTCACTGCATTTGACGTGTACAAGACTCAATACCAATTGGATCAGCTTTAGTGCTGGCCCTGCATCACATCAAGAACATCCTGCCATGCCTGCACATGTAGTGCGCGACGCAGGCTTTGTTTTCCCTCTCAAGCTCGTGATCTAGGATCGTCGAAGGACTTCTTACGTTGGAGATTGGACAGAGGCCTGGAGTATCCGACCCTCAGGAGGCCGACCACCCAACCATACACGAGCAAAAACCTAAATTTCGTGAAAGGTACTCACTTACCTTCCTTTTGGGGAAGGTGGGCGGGCAAACACAAATTAACTTGCTGAACTTCAAGCACAATGCTGCAACATGTCATCTGTCAGATGCTCTTAAGCATGCAAGACCCTACCCAACCATCCATGCTTTTGCATGTACTCAGGAAAACCCTGCCATGCCTGCACATGTAGTGCAAGATGCACGCTCTCCTTTCCATCTCAGGCTCGTGATCAAGCATCATCGAGGGACGTTTTACGTTGGAGATTGGACAGAGGCCTGGAGTATCCACAGCCTCGGCATTTCCCCAACACAACAGGCACCCCCACGCTTCTGCCAGACCATGAGAACTGAGATGATTCCAAGGGGCACATGAGGCAATGAATAAAGACCAGGACTGGACACGCGTCAGATAATCTACGGCTCCGGCTCTGGTTAGACCGTCGGAGATGTTCGCTTCAGACGGTACATAATTATTCCACGTACACTCGGCGCTGCAGGAAGTTCCAGAGTAGGTGTGCCGTACATGCCGAAAGAGAGATATCACTGGCAGTACTCCCTCCTTTGACTACGGCATTGCACACCTGTGTGTTATCCATGAACAAAAGGACGTCATGTCCTGCGAGTTCAGGACCAATGAGGGCGAAGGCTTGCAGACATGCCAAGGCCTCAAGGGGAGCGCCAAGCCAGGCGCAACCGTGAAATGAGGCTCCCAACTAGCGTCCGTATACAAGACCCTTCAAAGGCTTGATGCGCCAAGTCAGCTGAATGCATTCTGGTTGCATGAACGCTGCAAGGGACTTCAGGAAAGACAGGGGTCGCTCCAGCACAGGGGTTATGGCCCGATCAGACTCAAAGCACTGGCATTGTGTATAGCGCATGCCGCATGACAACCTGTGTGCTGATTGCCAAACGCGGCAGCGCTGGCTCACGCAACATGACCACGATGCTTGGCAGCCCGAGCTGCGGCGCAGGAGCCTGCGGCCAACAAACGGTCCACTTCTGCTGCAACGCCTCCCTAAGACCCAGCTTAACATCCAAGCGCATGAGACTATACGCAAAACCAGCAAGGTTGAGGAGCAGACCTAAGAGAATTCTCTGCACGTTCATGGGCTGCTACCGCTTGACGGGGTCAAGCCTTATGCCTATGGCGGATGCAAATGACTGCCTCCGGGGGTGAGCCGGCCCAGGACTGAAGGTCCAAAACTCCAGCGTCATCGAAGTAATGGGTGACTGCTGCACCAAAGGCTCTGCGTGCGACTGCAGATGTCAAGGCTGGGACCATATTGAAGTTGAGAACAGCTGTTCCCAATCCATAAGGATGGGCGTGCAAGATGGCAAAGCGCACTGCATTGTCACGCGCGTCAAACCATGCAATCACAAGCCCTGCTTCCTCTTCCGGACGGTTTGGGATCTGGCGATAGGCAGCCGCCACATCCTCAGATCTAAAGGCCAAACCTGCCCATGCTGGGATCTCTGCTGCTTCGCACTTCAACATAGTGTGGAAAGCCTTAGTGCAGCAACGACAGCATCAGGGCTAGATGTAAAATCACCTCTGGTGCGAAGTACAGCTCACTGTGACCACAACCCTCCGTCGTCAATGCGCCTAATTTTGCCTGTGCTCTGGATGCGCGCAAGCATTTCATTTTGACCCACTGGCCTGCTCCAAAACGGCACCACCCAGCTGCTCACGCGTGAATGGCCTTGAGGCGATCCCCTGACTGACTGATCTCATCATCTCATCACGAGTAAAATGGGACAGGAATTGAGAATGCTCGCGAGGCCGCAGACCAGAGCAGAGTTGGTCCACGGCAAACCCTTCTACGAAACGGCGGCCCAGGCCATCGAGTGAGCTACGCTCGCGCAGCCGGCGTTGTAGCCTCAAGATCGCCAGGCACGGATTAGAGGGCTCCTTGCAAACATGAACGCGAACAGACGGTCATCGTCACGCTGAAGGTACGCATGTGCTCAACTGCATGTGCTCCTCCTTGCCCAAGTCAAGCGGCGGCAGCGGGGGACAGACCCGCCCCGCACCGGCTCCGTGCACTGGCCTGGCAAGAAACCGTCACGTAGGCAAACAAAAATGATGGCTGGCACACTCCCTCTTGCTTGCGCTGGACGCAGGCGCCATTGCACCTAGAACGGAAGGCGGGAATCCCATGATGTGTGCCCTTTCCACACAGTCAGGCTTGTGCGCCACTGACATCGCCATTCATCGAATCTCATCTGAGCGAAAGCCTGCCACAGTGGCTTCGTCAAGGCCATGAGGTAGTAGGTTAACGGTTCCTGCGTTCCCGCGTGGGGCCCAGAGCAAAGAGCCTGGACAAGGCACAAAGGAGCCTGATGGAGCATATAACATGACGTTGTCTACATGCATCTTGCGGATTGCTCCGTAGCTAC